TATCTTCTTTCTCTTCCTCCTCCTCTACCCTTCTCCTCACCTCCGTCACATTCTCAATACCTTCACCACCCCTATTTTTCCATCCTCCTTTTTTTCGCAATACTCCCACTCAACAACTTTCAATTCTTTTTCCATACCTTTCCCCTACACTACATTCCTCTTCCCATTCCTAACCCTATTTTATTCTCATGATGTTAATTCTCCCTTTCACCATCTCCTGACCCCTTCCCCTCTCCTCCACTTCTTCCGTGCCCCTTTTCGTCTCTTCCCCTTCCATCCGATCAATGCCCCTTTCATCTTCACCCATGCTTTTTGTTTTTTTTCCTCGCTTCGTCGTCTGCTTGTCCCACTGCTCATGCTGTTCGCCACTCGCTCGCTCCCATCTCTTTCAATCCTTCCCCTTCGTTCAATATCTTCCGTTTACCTTTCCTATCCATCTCCTCTCTCGCCCCATCTCGCACCTTTTTTTTTTTTATTTTTTTTTTTTAACTTTTTACCTTCCCGCCCGTCCCTCACGCCACCTGTTGCGCTTCCTCTCTCCAAATCTCTCTTCTCCTGAAAGTCGACTTTCCAAACCGATCATCTTTCCCTCTACTCTTGTTGCTCTTTCAATCACACATTTTGCCAAACGCTGCCTCCCTATCCTGCTCTCTCAAATTCATCTGCTTTGCATACTTCCTGATTTTCAACCTGATTGCCGCATCTTCATCTTCCCCTCCACCGCTTTGTTGCTCAATTCCTACTTCACGCTCAATGATCCTGTACCGTCCTCACGCCACCTGCTTCCCTTTCTCTCAACTTGTATCCTTGCACGCGTTCCAAACTTTTGCTTCCTCGCCTTGATGCTATAAATTGATGTCTTTCAACAATCCTTTCACTGACGCGTTAGCGGTTAGCCTCCGATCGTGTCGCTGTTAGCGGTTGCGCCGAACACACATAACAATGAACATTCCGAAAGTTTCGATTGAGTATCAACAGTACAGTGCACCAAAAGCTCGAACGTTGACTTGTCATGTAAAATTAATGGCCACAAAACAAAAACGCCAAAAACTTAACAAGAGCGAGCGACGAGCCATCCGCGAAGAGCAAATGGCAGCCGGGCCTCTGGTCGCAATTTTCGGCGCACGTCAAAGCAAAGTACACCTCGCATTTTGCACGCGTCTCCGGTGCTCAATAAGAAGATCTTGTCCAAACGTGACCAACCTGTGACCCGCCAGCCCCGGCATTAGTGACGAAAGGCGCGCCTTGGCTTTTTGAGCAATTGTAGAAAAGTGATTTGAGCTGAAGCAGTAAAACGATTCGATTGTATTTTTCACGACAGAAGGCAACAGCAAGGGAAAACATCCAAAGGAAAAATGCCACTCACGATCAGCAGGACCGTACCCATATTCCGGTGGCAAAGCAATGTCACAACAAACTTCGAAAAGAGTAACTGGCTGGATCCTTCCAGAAGGTTCTGGTAGGTGATCGATGCTTGTACTCCAAGTAAGAACGAGGCAGCGGTGGTACCAAGTCAGCAGCATACTATGCAATACGCACTGTCAATATAATGATTGGCAGCAGGAAGAGGCGAATTTGACGGAGCACGTGCTTTACTCTAGATTCGCCAGGTATTCATTGAGACGGATTAAGATGCTCTTGAGATCCGTGTGACCTTGCTGTTGTCCTCTGGGCGTGCTTGGAAACTCTTGAGCAGGGAGCGCTGGTCTTTCAGGAGTTGCTGCTCCTTCAGTGGTCGACTCGGAAGATTGTGTACTGGGCTGATCTTCAAGTAGGTTTGTCAGCCCAATGTAGAGGCGCACTGCAGGTGTCTCATGATTTTGTTGCAACGAAGCCCTTGCCTGCAATTGCTCGTAACACCGACGCGCAGTTTTGTGAAAGAGGTTAGACTCGTCGGAGATTGCCTCGCGAAAGTCTTTGATCGCAGAGTCGATATGTTGCGGTTGAACCAAAGAACCCGTTGACAATGCACATGCAACAATGTTCTGAGCACGATGCAGCCGAGCCACCTGATCTGATGGGGTAAACTGGGTAGCGTTGACGGCGTTATCCAAGTCTAGCAACATCTGCTCCCATTTTCCTCTTTCTTTGTAACGGTCCGCCCGAAGCACATACAGCTGCACCAAGCTTTGACCGCGCTTCTTGCGAGCTCCATCGCTGATCGGGCGTCCTGCATCATAGCTTCTGCTGAAGTGGCTGATGAGCTCCTTGAAGAGATGATCGATGGTGCCTTGATTCACGTGAGCACTCAGCACCTCCAGCCAATGAGGCATGCCGTGGGTACGCTTGTGTAGCAAAAAATTGAGCAGTGGCCATTGTTGAGCTTGATCAAGCCAAATGAATGCTGATGACCACAACCTTTTGATCAGCATTCCATTGCCGCTGACGCGCAAGCCACCAGGCGCGTCTGCGTCAAATGCGGCTTTGATGCCCACTGCAGCGAGGATCGGTACTGCAAGTAACCAGTTGTTGAGGCGATAGCAGAGCCGACCAGATTCTGGCAGAATGTTCCTCACGAGCCATTTGTGATCTCCAAGTGGAGGACCTTCAATGAACCACTGCGTGTTGCAAGACAAGGTGAAAATCTCCAGCAGCGCGAGGACTGCAAGGAGCTCACGGGCATAAGGCATCTCATCCAAGGCCTGCTTGATGGTCTTTGACCTCTTGACACGATGATTGGTCACCACAAGGCCAGGCAGACAGATGAACAGTTCTTCTTGCTGGGCAAGATCATCCAAGCTTGACGCCTCCGGAAAGAAAGACTTGTACACGTCCACGGCTGCTTGTGCTTCGGTGCGCGTCATAATGGGGTCAAGTGTAAACTCCTGCAGATCGGGCCTTGCCGCTGGACCAAAGCACATTACCACCTTGACCACAACAACTGCCAACGATGCGTGCGATCTGAGATGTGCTTTGGCGCTGTCCATGACTTTTTGCTCCGCGTCTTGAGCAGAACGGGAGTCCAGCATGATGACGAATCGTGGACTGCATTCACTGCTCAACATCTGCTCGGATGGCCACTCCACTGCCTCGTCGTTGTCCAGAATTTGCACCCGAATGTTCTGGTGTTGTCGCAGGCCGTGTGCGACCCGGCGTAGAAAGGTTGTCGTTCCAGTCCCAGGAAGAATTGCTTGCACGCACCAATTTGCAACAGTACCAGGACGCAAGAGGCTAGTAATCCTTTCAATGGCCTCTTTCTCGCCGTTTCGCGCTGGAGAAATTTTATTGATCAACGCGTCATCTTCAAACCACTGCTTCAAAATGAGTTTTAGCTCACGCTTCTGCAGGGTATGCGCCTCTCCAGCCAGCCACGCCCGGATGAGCTGACGCCCTTCTTCTGAAGGTAGCGGGATGGCGGTGGGAGACACCTGTGGAACGCACAAGTCATCCCATTTTCGGAGCAATTGCACATCAGCCACTTTCAACGAACGGTCCAGCATCACCGTCATGCTATGGTGTAGCCGCTTTGGATTGACATCGTAAAGATAGAAATTGGCTGATTGGTGGTATCCAAACCAGAGCATGTTCTCCGAAGTCATTGTGATGCCCAAGCAAACCAATACCAGGGCCTTCTTGTCCTCTGCAGGTGATATAATCTCGAGAGGTCCACTGTGAAAGGTTATGGCTAGCCGTAGTGTGTCGCGCACGTGAGTTTGCAGCTCTATGTAAATGGAGGCTGGTGCCGTGATTTCTGCTGCAAAAGCCACGACATGTACGTCATAGAAGGATTTGTATGGCTCGGTCCACAGCCTGGAAAGGTCGGCGATATCGTTGCGTCGCAGCAGCGCCCAGGTTGTAAGCGGTGAGAGGCCATATAGCGCAGGCGGCTCAGGAGCCTGCGTACCATTTGCAGCCTGAACTATGGTGGCACATGAGCTGATGCTGGGACGCAATAGGCGTGGTGCGCTCGAGACCAAACTTGCCGCATTCGGCAGGGTAATCAACTCGATCATGACATGTGGCACCAGGTTGATGACATCGAGAGCGACCAGGGCAAAATGCAGGCCCTCTGTGCCGATGTGTGTCCACGTTGTCTCGTTGGTTTGCCGTTTTGAGGGCTTGCCCAACTCAAGATGGCACGGTTTGGCTCCACACCCGATGAGTCTCAGGTTGTCCTTGTTTGCGACGACAATGCCGAGCTTGTTGTGTCCTTCCGTAAACCAAGTAGCAACCAAGTGCCACTCAGCGTGCTCCAGAAGCGGCTTTACCACCTTGGGATCGTATGCAAACAGCACAGTGCCCTGTTGCTTCGGTCCCAACAGTTTGGGCATCACGTCTGCTTCAAACTGCACCTCAAGTATGCCGATGCTCATTTGCATGTTGGGTGTGGGAAAAAGACGAGACCATTCTTTCGTGACAATGTCTTTGAGCTTTTTCTTCAGCTTTTCCAAAAGCGAGCCATATGCCTCTTTTTCTGCCCAGAGGGGTATGCCCGTGACACAGGCATCAGCATCGCGCACACCAACAGCCAGACGCGTTTTAATCGGCCTTCCATCCGCTGTGACCTTATAGAGCTCGACAGCGTAGCGCTTGAAATGCTCCTCCAGCTTGGCGTACAACAGCTCAGGGTTTACGAGTGCATCTAAAGTAGTCGGTTTGCGTTCCTTGTTCTGACTGGCATGATGCTCAATCTCGGCGACACTCAAATGCTTCACGTCACTAATGGTCAATGTCCCGTTGCATGTCAAGGGGCGCGTGACGTGCTCCACAGTGATGGCACGCAGATCGTTCAGCAAGTCCTCGTGGGTTGCAAGTGTAGTGGTCGCGCCCACACGAAACTTTGCATCAAAATGATTAAATCGTAACATGTTGTCGTGCGTGTGCACAACAACACACCGCTCAGTCTCATTCCATGTCACCAGCGTACTAGCCGGCAACGCTTCCTCGGGAGAACGGGTTTCAAAAATCAAGTCCACGGCAGGCAACACGTTTTCACGGATATGAGAGCTCAGGCGGTCGTACAAGTTGTTGATGTCACTCTCCACAGGCGCAATGATGCGGCCACAGCAGCGTCCGTTGAGCATGGCAGTGAGAACCATGGCGAGGTCCTGCTCCTTTTCCAATTGCCACTCATAGCCGAACTCGGTTTCAGTCATGGTGCCAAAACACTCTGGCGTGTTAAGCCTGTGCCAACATGGACCATGAGAACTGGACGTGCCTCCGCGACGCCAATGCATGTCAAGGCCATGCGTTGCCACGAGCCTGGGCGTACCATGAAGTATTATTGTTGGACATGCTGAAGTTGTGCGTATCCGTTCTGCCGGTGCCCTGCTCAAGCGAAAGCGATGCTTGCGTTGACGTCAACATGCTGCAATGCATTTCGATGCAAGTGTTATGAGACGAATTCTGACAGAAAGAAGCCTTGGCTGACATAGACACCCATACTATCATGAAAGCTTACTCTGAAGTTGACGCCATGCTCGCCGCCTTTTGGAGGTCTCTCGCCGAATTCTCACTCTGACGATGACAGGATGCTCGACGTCGGCGTTTTCAGGTTGCTTTTTCCATTCACATTCACAAAAGATCGATCGAACACGAAACCAAACTGCTGTGACACATTGTTGAATCGAACTGCAAGGAGGAATGGCCTCTCCACTGATTCACAAAAGCTGACAAGGAAAGAAAAGAAAGCCAAAAGGAATAAGTGGAAGAAAAATGCACCATCAGCAACCACCACAAGTGTACATCCAAAGATACAATATACACATCTAAAAAAAGAAAAAAATAGAAAAAATAGAACACTCGGTACTTGTTTGTGGGAGAGACGGAGGAAGAATGACGAGCAGGGAAGAGAGGTGGTTGAATCGAAGAAATCCCATGGTTGTAGAAAGAGGGAAAAACAGAGGTAGAGCGAGATGGAGGTATAAAAGGCAGAGATGAATGCGAAAAGAGATTGGACTGTCGTTGCTCTCTGGCTTAATGCTCATCTGACGCGCATCCTGCCCACTTGTCTCTCATTTGAGTTGGCACAAGTGGGCAGAGCATTGAACGACTTCTCTCTTCACCCAGACACTGATCCCTTACACCCCTTTACACCCCTTTTGTCTTTACACAAGCATCTCATCCTTCCGTCCTGCTGGCCATGTATCACGTGCTACATGAATCTCTATCAGGGGGGCAAATTATATCGCCATGGAATGATGTGCGTATATTTACATCCGGATGTTAGATTGATTAGGGCCATCAACATTGCCCTTCTTCGACTTCTCAGCCGTGTTCGCAACGCGCCACTCGGCTCAATTAAAAGATCCTGGGAAGACGGCAAAAATGCTGCTCTTATCGTCATTGTCCTGTCCTGTGCCTCGGCTGACGTTTGACCATGGACTGCGTTATTGTCGGCATGGTGCTGTATCCGCTCGCTATCACAATTCGCAGACGACTATAAAGGGCACAGTCCAGCGTTCTGGTAATGCAGGAGTGTTGCGCTGATTGAGCCACAGCGTTTGCTCCAGCAGTACCATTGCTATTTGAAGAGAAGCCGCGCACGCGTCAGCGGCAGCGCTGCCTGTGGCCCGCTTGTCTTGGGCAGGTGACACGGGCAGCGAGTTACCGAGCGCGCCAAAAACTATGACATTTCACAATTGTCACACAATAATGTCACGCTTTTTGTCAGCAAAATCAATGTCTTGTTACCAAATGATAGGAAAGCATTGCCATCTGACAAACACTGATGAATCGACAGGAGTACAATAGTTTTAATAGAAAAAGTGGCATCAAGGTGATTGATAAAATCATTAAAAGCAGTATCATCGGCGGGCGCAGTTTTTCGCCTCGACGCGCTGTCGACGATTTGGCGGCGCGATGGCTTCTCTGACCATTGATGAGGTGAATGGCCTCAAGGTCAAGGAGCTGAAGGACGAGCTGAAGAGCCGTAACCTTCCCACTTCTGGCCTCAAGAATGACCTGGCGCAGCGTTTGATTGAGGTGAGCGAACCACCCGCTTTTTTCATGGTCTCTCTCTCGACCTGATCTCATGCCGGCTTTTGGACTGGCTACCCTCACTCCTTCGCGCTGTTGATTTGTCCAGGCCATTGCTGCCGAAGGCACGACCGAATCTGCCCCTGCCCCTGCCCCTGAAACGGCACCCCCGCCCCGTGCCGAGCCGGTTGCGACACCCGTCGACGCAGCCCAGCCTCCTGCTGTGCCATCGACGGGCGCGCCCAAGGCCGAGGCTGAAGTACCCACCCCATCCGCACCCCCGGCTGCGCCGGCGCCAAAAGCGGCCAATGACGGCAAGGTTCTTCGTCGTGCTGATGGCAAAAAGAAGAAAAACAAGAAGAAAAAATCCAAGCAACAGTCTGACGCGCCTGCTCCGCCCACCACGACCCCGACCGACTCTGGGGTGGAGAACATTGACATTGAGTACGTTGGACACAGGCACTGCTCTTGTGAGTGTAGAGCTGTCTGTCTCACCTTATCAATTTTACCTGCTTTGTGGATTTGCTTGGTCAAATCAGATATGTGCCCGAGGAGCTTCCCTCGGCTGATCCGGCCCTAGGCGAATTTGCCGCCATCTTTGACCGTTTCAAGGTGTGTCCCAAATTTTTCCAAGGCTTTGGGGCTGCTCCATCATCGTATTCTAATGCCAACCACATCCACTGTCACCGCCATGCCTCCCTGTAAAGTTCACCGAGCCAGAAGAGTCGACAGAGAAAGACAAGAATGATCAGCAGGCGACCGAGGACGGCGAGACCAAGACAGAGGGCATGGACGAGGATGGCGATGATGAAGAGGAAACCGATGAGCAGAAGATGAGCAAGCGCCAGTGGCGCAAGCATCACCGTATGAACGTGGCACAGCTCAAGCAGTTGGTGGACCGCCCCGATGTGGTCGAGCTGCACGACGCGCATGCCGCCGATCCTCAGCTGCTGGTGCATCTCAAGGCCTATCGTAACACCGTTCCTGTGCCTCGGCATTGGGCCAACAAGCGCAAGTACTTGCAGGGCAAGCGTGGCTTTGAAAAGCCTCCCTTTGATTTGCCCGAGTTTATCAAGCGCACGGGTATCACTGAAATGCGTGAGGCGTTGGCCGAGAAAGAGGCTGAAAAGGGCATCAAGGCCAAGATGCGTGAAAAGGTGCGTCCCAAGATGGGCAAGATTGACATTGACTACTCCAAGCTCCACGACGCCTTCTTTCGCTGGCAGACCAAGCCCAAGCTCACGGGCCATGGTGATATCTACTACGAGGACAAGGTTTGTCTGCTCTCGTCCGCCGCATGTGGTCCGCGTCCAACCGACCCATGTTTCTTTCTCGTTGGCTACCGTCGCGTTGTCCTACTCTCGCCTCGCCTTACACGTGTGACCTTTTGTTCATCTGCTATTCTCAGGAGTTTGAGACAGTCATGACAAACCGCAAGCCGGGTCAGCTCTCGACGCGCCTTAAAGAGGCTTTGGGCATGCCGGTGGGCGACGATGCACAGCCCGTTCCCCCGCCCTGGCTTCTCCACATGCAGCGTTTCGGCCCGCCACCATCGTATCCAAACCTTTCCATCCCTGGCCTCAACGCTCCGATTCCATCGGGTGCCAGTTTCGGGTATCATCCTGGAGGCTGGGGCAAGCCTCCCGTCGATGCCAACGGCAAGCCCCTCTACGGTGATGTCTTTGGTGCATACGACCCCCAACTCAAGCTACAGGGGCTCGACTTGGAGGTGGACAAGAGCCTATGGGGCAAACTTGAAAGCGACGCAGAGAGCTCAGAAGATGAATCCGAGGATGAGTCGGAAGAGGAGGAGGGGGACAGCGACGAGGATAAGGACGAGTTGGACGATGATGAAGGTCTTATCACGCCAGGTGGCATCACGTACGTCCACCTTGGTCTCCTTCAATCAACAAGAAGTGAACAAATGTCATCAAAGGCCCGCCTGTCCATGCTTTCTTATTCATCCTTTGGATGGGACACACTTTTTTATTTGATTCATTTTTTTTCCTCCTGTACTAACCCGCTCATCACGATGTCGTGCTGTTTGCTCATCGCTTTGAAGATCCGAGGCGCCGAGCGGTATTTCATCCATCACAACCGCTGGTCAAGAAACACCCGACCAACTGCAGCTGCGTAAGCAGCGGACGATTGAGGAAGCCATGGATGCCAGTGAGGAGAAGAGTCTGTACAAGGTTATTCCCCAGATGCAGGCCACGCAGGGCAGCAACATGATGGCCTCCCAACACGTCTATGACCTCAAGTCCTCCTCATCCGGCTCTGCCGCCGGTGGGGCTAGCTCGGGTAAGCCTTTGAAACATGAATTTCCTTGTCATATGCACTCTGTAATGTGCTGTTGATGTTGACTCAATTCCACAATTTTCATTCATTGCAGGCGGCATTGCCATTGCGTTGGACAACCCCGACGATCTGGGCCGGCTCGAGGCTAACCAAGATCTCCTGCAACGCAAACTGGCCGAGGCCAGCGGCGCGGGCCAACGGGAAGATCTTTCTGACATGGTTGCCGAGCACCAAGCCAAGGCCGCGGCCAAGCGCAAGAAATCGGACAAGGGTGGAACGTCCAAGAAATTCAAATTTTAAGGGTAGTGGGCTTTTGCTCTATTGCTTCAATTGATCCTGATTATCCTTCTTAGTCCTTGCAGCACGCTCGTCTCGATCAAAACTTGAGACAGAGCGCGAGCGTTTAGCGTTTCAATTATGCGTCTGGTGGCTCGTTGAGAAAATCAAACTGGTCACCCAGACGACACTGGATGATGCCGTTTGCGTTGAGGCGTCGAATCAAGTTGACCAATTCCGCCGCGCTACAAGTGGCATGCGATGATTGATTGTAAGACAGACAGCTCTTTCCGCGTCAAGCACGCATTCCCATCGGGGTGGGCATGCACAAACCTAGCTTCTTCCTCCTCTTCAGTCATTGCGGGCCGGGATGCAGTCGAAGGGCTAAAACGACGACCGGTCACGGGATTCACCGGCGCGCCCTGCGCCTCTAGCTCATCCTCAGAATCCGACTCCAGCGCATCACTGTGGCCCATGCAGTCATTACGAGGGAGGCGTGAGTCCAAAAAAAACAATCCAATTCAAAGAAAAGATGATTTTTGCGAACAGCGACACGTACTTGCTGGGATCGGCCACGGCTCCCAGCTGACCAAGGGCCGAGAGAAGACCGGCCGCATTGCCCATACCAGTCCGGCGGACGAGCTTGTTAACTGACAGTGTGTATGCACCACGCATGGAAAGTACGTGTAGTGAGTCGAGCAAGTGGCAAGCACAAACACACAAACAACCACACATACTGGCAGCAGATGACGGCTCGCCATACCATCCTTTTCGCAGAGATGATACAAAAGTTGTGAGGTCATCATGTTCAAGTGCGTGACGTGGGAAGTCATGAGACGAATCAGCGCCGGCCGTAGTCCATCTCCTTCTTCGGGGGCCGAGTCTAGGTCGATACGTGGGGGCAAAATCTACACCAATGGGCAGTACCCGTGATGTCAGGCAGCAGCATATAGACGGCCCTCCCCACGCCAGGCATGGGTGGCAACAGGTACCTTTGCACGAAGATGTCGCGCACTCGCTCGATCGTTCATGCTGATGACGGATAACACCATGAGATAGGGGGCAATGGCGTCGCGTAGATCTTCCGAATCCTCCAAGCGCAGAACCTGACGCCCGATGAAACCACAAGCGTCAGTTGAAAACTCGTTGCTTGTTGTGTCGCCAAGCAGACTTGATAGTGACCAACCTCATGCTCAAGTTGCTCAACAATGGCGTCAAGACTGAGGGCGTCAACGCGCATGTCCTGGTTCAAACATGCCCAGGTGATTGAGCTCAAAGCAGAAATGACTGAACTTCAAAAAAACACTGCGGACCAACCTCGAGACGCAGGCACACAATGTCTTCTGGGAGAGCAACTAACAGCTCGCAGGCGGCACGGACCACCGGCCGGCGCTTCGAGGCCACTGCCAGCTGGGCAGTCAGCAAAGCCTGCAAAATATACAGTGTTGTCAGCGCGCGCACAGCGTACAACGTACAAAGGACTAAATTAGAACGTTTACCTCGATGGCTTGCTCTCGACTGTCCACCCACACTTTGCGCCCTACAAGACCCAGCAGCTTGAAGATCTTCAGACGGAACAGCACACGCGCCAATGTCCAGTTAGCAAAATGTCAGGTGTAAATGCGATACTAACAGTGAAACGGCTGTGGGGCAACAAACCTCCAGGTGCACCGCTAAATCAGCTTCGGGCGTGCTGCGCCACGCGGCCGGGTGTTGCATGACGCGCTGCAGCCAGTGCTGACAAAGATCACTGTCGGCAAAGACAGCGAGGGCCGAAGACGTTTTGGCGATCATTATGTACAGAAACTTGAACCAAAGGGTCTGTGGCGACACAGAGATGAGCGCCCAATGCTACACCACGAGATCATATTCTAATCAAGCAGGCCGATCTCTTGTGCAGCGCGACTCGCCTGAGCAGAGGGGCTGTAGCTGGCAACGGTCATAGAGAACTGCTTGGCCGCCGCCAACAGCTGCGACGCAACAAGAATCAGCATGAGGCCTTGTTGTTGCTGGAGTTCATTGAAGGCCAGCGGGTTCGAACGGACCTGCGCATCGTCAAAGACATGGGTGTTGGCGGGCTGAAGCATGGCATTGATGAACAGCTTGCAAGCTTCCTCCACGGTCCGCGCATGATCAGGGGAGGGCTCGGCTGCAACGGTGTGTAGGGGTCGTGGTTATATCGACTACGGATGTAGGCAGCGCGTCTCAGCAAGCGGGATTGTCAGTTGCGCGCCTGTTTGCCCACCTTGTCCAGTACCAATAACTCGTTGAAAGGCGGCCCGTGTCATGTCTTGAAACTTGTCTGAAGGCACGGCACCGGCCCAACGCGACACGATTCTGTGTGGCAGCCAAAGAGGATGAAAACAGCGGCGAGCCCAAGCGAGGCCGATGATGCTAGATCAGGCGTTGGGAGCCCGGACGCACCGCATCACCAACAGCGCTTGCTGCTGCGCAGCGTCATCCTGGTCTTCTGCGCGCGCCAGATCAGCCGACGCTTGCTCGACCACCTCCTGCACCGCAAGTTGCAGCCGCGGTCAATACAACAAGAGCAGCTCGCAGGGCACGTCAACCACTCAGCACTTCCTATCCTCGGCCGTTGCAGTACGTTCAACGCGGACGTACATGGATAACCCTGTCGGCTGGCCGCTGCCCTTGACCCGGAACCGCATGCTCGGCGACAAACGCTGCCAGATCCACCATGACCCCTGGTCCTCTAGAACAGAAAATGAAGTAAAAAAACAAGAAGATGAAGAAACTGTCTAGATCTTATGGGTGAACACCTTTTGATACTAAGTAAGCAAGATGAAGAAAAGTATCAAGTTAATGAAGAAGCTGCAGAAAAATTTGAGAGTTGTTGTGTCAAAAGCAGTTTTTTTCTTCTTCTTCTTCTTCAAGCTCTCTCTCTCTCTCTCTCAATGGAGGCTCGCGGACCGGGCAAAGTCGCCGTGTGCGACAGTGAGGAGCTGGAACAGTGCCTCAAGTGCGTGCTCGTCTCACGTGATGGAGGGTCGTTGGCTTGTTGTGCTTTGACATTTCATGGCCGTGACGGCTTGACTCCGGCTTGTCTCATTTCTTGACCTGTTTGCGCGAACATGCTCATGGCTGCACTGAATCGCCGTGCAGGCGTCACAATGGTGACCGCAGCAAATGCTTAGAGGAGTGGGAACGTTTCAAGGCTAGCTGTAGTGCCAAAACCCGTGGTGGCGTTGCTGCCACCGCTGCTTCGCAGCCCCGGTGATGCGACAAGCTAACATCTTTATCGATTGACATGTCACAACCCCCTCTTCCTTTCCTTTTCTGGTGACGTTCTGGCTGCTCAACGCCCGAAGCGCATAAAATTTTATACGAGGAGCATTGGCGAGGCATCCCAGCCCACCATTTTTTGCCACGCGCGGGGCAACGGGTGCACTGGCCAGAGCCACGCCACCACGTGGGCCGCTGTGCGCTCATCCAAGCCGGCCAACTAGAACACCCCCCGCCAGGTGGCCGTGAGCATAAGCAGAGAACTGAAAAGGTGGCGACCAAAGCACACTATTCTTTGACCGACCTGGCCTGCTAACAATTGATGGCATCCTTCCGGTAATTGTTGTAGCACGTCTAAGTCAATCAAACGCAGGCGCACCTCATAGGTTAATTCACAACTGCACACGTGTCTAGTCGTAATCTTGGCAGCGCCAGTGGCACGGCAGGGCCTACCTCCATCGGGTAGCCAAGATGGGCCTTCCACGTGTGGGGCAGCAGCTAAAGTGACACGTCCACACTGAACGTGTACTACGGCCTCCAAGCACTGCCAGGCGCGCTGCCAGGCCCCCAACCCGGAGCCAGCCGCTGTCACAAGGTGATAAGCCAGCATCGGTAGATCAAAGGCATCGAGGGCCTTGGTCTGTTCCAAGAGAGCGGCCGCTAGAACAATGTTCATTCACAGTGAGTCAACATGCTTCCAGCCAAAAACACACCGACTTCCGACACTCAGAGGAGCGCGCGCGCATAACACACACACACACACACACACACACACACACACACACACACACACACACACACACACCTGTGAGGATTGGTGTCGAATGGTACAGCTCAAGCAGGGATCGCGCCGTGGTCGCGTGCCACTGATCAGCACCCTCCGGGTCTGGCAGCCGCGCGAGGTGCTGCATCAAAGCATGGAGGGCCCTCCAGGTTGCTCCGCATGTGGCTGGTACCGCACGAGGCCAGGTCGCCAGGTGTTGCGCGACACGGCGAGCCACATCGAGGCCATCTACCGACACCTCGGCCAACTACACACAGGGAAAGAGGAACATGACGTTCAGAGGCCGTTGCAAGGACAATGAAAAAGACTCTCACGTAAGACCATGCCGCTGCAAACCAGCATACCTGCTCAAGAGCACGCGCGGCCTGGCTGGGTATTTGCTTGCTCAAAATCTGCCATGCAGCCAGAATGTCGTCTGCTTCCACCTGTTGAGATGCATGCGGATGATAGAAACCGGCCACGAGTTGCATGCCCAACGCTGGCAGTGCTTGGGGCGGCAGCACATCCACCAGAGGCTATAAAAGCATCGAGTACAACAGTGACATTAGCCGACAGCCGCGCCGGTGCTCCCAAAAGACGCAATCACGCACCTGATCACGGGCAAACTGAAGCAATGCCTTTGGCTCGAGCTCTGACCAGAGCACTTGATCTATGGGGACAACTATTGTGCCGCACAAGTGAGCACGACATCAGGGCAATGCAAGCGGTAAGGGGCAAAGGGGAGGTCAAACTCAAAGCCCAATGCAACGACGAACCCGCTGAAAGGGTGCGCGAGCCCTGATACGCGTGGTACAGAGCAAGCAAGTCGTTCAAGCCCTGCTCGAGCGCGGGCCCTAACATTTATGTCAGAGGTCAGAAGTCTGCACGTGGAGTACAACAGGTCCAGCAACGTTCAGCTGGTGGGCGCATGACCATTATGAATAACGGGCAACCTACCTGTGGCCTGGTGAAGATGTCGGACAACGTGTGTTGTCAAGGGGCCGTAGGCCGGAAACTAACAAGGCGCCAATTGCCACCAGCATACCAGACGTGATCGGTTCATGCTGGTTGCTGCAAACCCTTTGGCAGCAACAAGCCCACTCACCAGCGGCAGTTGCTCCACATGCGGTGCCAAGATTGACAACAGTAGCCGGCCTTGTTCGGGCGTGGTTGGAGCGGCTGCCTGTTGCACCACAGCAGCCAACACGGGATAACTGTCCAAATTGACTTGTGGCAACCTGTTGATCACGTGCGTTGACCCACAGGCGACGATATCAGGCGAGTGTCCGATCAGCTTGAGCCAGGCAAACGTCAAAGGAGGGAGCGTGTCAGGTGACGCATACCTCACAGCAAAGTGACGCCAGGGACTGGAGCTGGAGTCTGTGGTCGCGAGCGGGAGATCAGAGATGCCAGCGGCAAGCAGGTACGCCGTTTGCAACTCTAGGGCCCATGCCGCGGGTGGCGATGGCGTGGCCCCGCCGGCGTTGGCAGCCAGCATGCCCTGTGAAAAGGCCACCTCTACGGTTGCTGCTGCTGCTGAACCTGCACCTATCATCAACCGCCGTACTTGAGTTCAACGCTGTTTAGACCGGTCGAACAAGCCAAGATACGTTTGACGGGCAGCGGAACCAACCGAGTGAGCCGTGATTGTTGGCAAGATAGACGATGTCTGCTTCGTTGTCAAACGGCTCGAGGCCGCCATCTGGAAGTGTTGTGCGCCCTTGAATGACGCGAACGGCAACATCCAGCTCTTCGCTCAGTTTTGTCTTGAGAAACGCAAGATACAGAAATAAACCGAAAAAAAAAAAAAAAAAAAAGTCACTCAAGGGCACATCCACTTCAAGCAACAAAAACGTTGCAGCAAAGAGCAAGAACACGCGGCAACTGATGGAAGTGACGAACCGAGTCGAGCTCTACATCTGGATAGCGCTGCTTCACCAACGCGAGCGCCACCAGCAGCAGCTTTTTATGCGTTCGAGGTCTGTCGGGCACAAACAGAAATAAATGAACGTGGCCGACATGGCTTCTGATTCGTTCTTCAGCCAACTGAAACGCAACCATCGCCTTCCTTCAGATTGTGGATGATTGACAAGCACCACACGACGACCTCTGCAACCTTGAACATACCGAGTCAGTTGATACAAGGGCTGGGCGTCGGAGGAGACGCGATGCTGGTCAATGTGGCCGAGGAGCCAAGCCAAGATTCGACGCACAGTATCAGGCTGTGCAATGACCAAAGCTGCGCCGACTAGAGCAGCAATGGCGCCTGCCTCGGGAGCCCGGGCCGCAGTCAGACTGGCAGCCAGGCCATCGAGGCCTTGATTGCGCATCTCGGGACAGTTTTGCACCCGCGCAGCCCAGAGGTTGATAAACCACGTATAGTGCGCCACCGTAGCCATGAGTGGCTGAGTGGCAGCCAACACGGCGCTTTGCAGACCACCGTGGAACAGAGCAGCTACAGCTAGATAAGTTGCCTCCTCCGTTCCAGGTGTGGCACGGCGCAATTTCTCCAAGGTGTCGTGCAGATGAGCTTCCCGTCCCTTGGCCCAGCCGACACGCACGGAGCGCGGAATTTGCGAGACCTCAAACTCTACCAGACGGCAAGCCAAACTTGATGTGGAGACATCGGGTATCTGGAGTAGCGACAGGGCCTCTGCGACGCCGACAGGGCGGCAGTTGGCCGACGCCTCAGCGCTATCAGGAGTCGCCGGCGCCTTTTCCAGCTCGTCGGAGGAACGCGGATGGTTGTAGCTTGGATGAAACAAAGTTAGCGCGGTCAAGACTCCTTCGGTGGCGTACTCTGGGGTGGTAGCATTGGTCACACCATCATTCGAGGGCAATGCCGACCTATCCGGGGGCAGCCCACATACTTGTCAGCAAACGCTCCCTTCATGCACATGCATGAATTGGGTGCACGTACCAGCATCGCGACAGCACGGCATGTCGAGCTTCGTGTGCATCCGCATCGGGCCAGTACTCGGGGCCCATCACAATGTCCAGCGAAGCTAGTTGCACACCAGGTTGATCAGAGCCGAGGGAGTCGTGAAGCCATCAAGAAGCAATCCCAAGCAAGAAGCATACTTTTGGTGTCAAGGGTCGTGACAACCCAGGCTTCAATCTGCAAGCGACAGGCACGCGTCTCTGGTGTCGCCTCAAAGCTATTTATTGCCACAACACGGAACGAACACATTGGTGAGGCATTTCGTCCAACTCATGGCAGTCCGCCGAGCGGGTCAAACCTTGGCTGAAAAGATGCCAGCGCGCTCGACGCCTCGAGTTCGCCTTGAGTCACCAAAATGCGCACGACCTGTGCCACTTCATGAGCCACAGGCGCTTCTACGTTTGGAATTTGCAGTTTGTCCAAGACAGCAATGGCCTCGACTGCAGCCAGCTCACCGCGGGCAACAAGCTGCGATGCAAGCCATGTGCAAAGTAAGCCTGGCTGTTGGACGCCCTGCAGGACCATGAGCACGCGCACCTGATGACAGAGCTTGCCCAACAGTAGCGCATCTGGCCCATCGATTACTCTGGGCTCGAGCAAAACGATCTTGAGAAGGTCACGGGACCAGGATGCAGACAAGCCCGAGAGGATATCGATGGCAATTGTGCGCAGGGCGACCGGTGGCGGCACCACCGAGCCGTGAGCACCACGCATCGGGCGACACAGGCGATGAAACGTCAGAACGGCAGTCTCGCTGTGCTCGCCGAGACGCGCTAGGAGCACAAGCACCCAGCGCAAAGCTGCCGGTGACATATTGGGGAGCTTCAGGAGTGCCAGGCAATACTGCGTTGCAGTAGCGGGATCGGTGGTGAACCATTGAAGAGTGTCGTCAGCCCAGGGATCCGGCAGTTGATCGGGTCCAGTGTGAAGCAGCTGTGTAAGATTGTCCATGACGTGCGATTGCAACCAAGCTTGAGTCACGGCAGAGCGGCGCGCCTGGGTCGCTGTCAAGGTCATGAGATGACCAGCCACATCTGGGGATCGGAACAGCCACGGCCAGCCTGGTTTGCCCAGACATTCGCCCGTCTGAGGCTGCTGTACAGCAGCAGGTGCGCGTGCTGCACGCATCTGATTCGGTCATTTGCCACACCCTGTGAGTTGGGACAAGCGGAAAGGCATGGACACACAAGGAACATGGTGGGCGTACCTCGAGCGCTACCCAAAGAGGAGCGTTGGCGATGGAGGACACGTGGAGCAAATCAGCAGGAAGAAGCCAGGGCAGGGCAAAGACGGGAACGGCGTTGGCTGCGGCACCCAGAGGCAAAGCCAGCGAACGGTTCTCGGCCGCAGTGCGCAAGCATTGGGGAAGTTGCAGCACAGAGCGCATGCAATGCGGCGTTGGATCAAAGACGGCGAGCAAAGCATGCAATGCTGCCAAGGAGGAAGATGCCAAAATGAGCTGTAGGCCCTTCGTTCTGACAAACTGGAATTGCAAAGACTGCTGACCTGGGTCGGCACCAAGGGCCATGGGAAGAGCAGCAGCCCACAGCTACGAGGACATGGCGCCAAGATGAAACAATCACGGTGGCTTTGGATTGCTTTGGGTCGCAGGGCGCCCACCTACCTGATCGCGGGGCAGCTGAAAGACGACAAACGCAATGACGGCTTGGCGCAAAGAAATGGGCAGACTATATACAGGCAGCGTCAAAGTCAGAAGAATACACGGACCAGTGGCACGCAGGCAGGCCCGACGTGAGCAGTACCTGGCCAGGCTGTTCAAGACGACCCAGCGCAGAGCTGGCGAGGAAGTGAGGGCGGTCCAAAAGTGACCCAGGTCCTCGGGTTGGCTCGCCTCGGGGCTGGCGATGACCCGATCAAGAAAGGCAGAGGCAATCAATCGCGCGCTACACAGTGGGACATTGACCAAGGGCGTGAAGAGCACATGAGTGGTGCAAACGGACTGCGACCTGCTGCGTGGCTCGAACGGTGCTCACCAGGGCGGTTGCTGTTGAAGGGCCACCAACAGAGCCGCATCACTGATCCGAGCCGCAGGCCCTTGCTCCCGAAGCGCTGCAGCCACATCTCGGCCACAGCCGCTCATCAGCAGACTCGACTCGGTCGAAGTCGTCCGCCTGAGATCCGCCTGCGCCTGCGCTTGCGCGCCGCGCGACGATGACATGTTGTTTGTGTGAAAAAAAAAAACGGAAATCACACACACCCCCTCAAAAAAAAAAAAAAATCCTCAAAAACACAGCTGTAAAAAAAAAAAAAAAAAAAAAAAAAAACTCCCGGAAGAAAAGAAGGGTTTTGATATGATCTATCAAAGCTGACTCGGACGCAGCAGCGTCTCGTACTGGTTCCCTGAAGTCCATTGTATTCTGGCTGGGCTGCATGGGAATGAGTCCTGTTCAAGGGGGTGGGCACTGCCATGCCACGATACTTGAATGTCACACAAAGTCTGATTATGTTTCGATTTTTCTTTCCGTTGTGGAAGCGTCTGAGCTAGCGCACCCATGCATCAGTGAAATAGAGACCCACGTCTTCATTGCTGTTGCCCCAGTCCTTGAGCCTGAAATCCACGATTGGAAAACCTGCAACCCAAGAGGTAGTGAGACACTGGCGCACAAGATTCGGCGGAGCAACAATGAAAGGAGCACGTACGGTCTGGCGTGCCCGTGAACTTGGCGACACCCGAGTGCACAGTCGAGGCATCATTCACGTGGCATCCATCAGACAGGACCTATGTGACAGGTTAGCGTCAAAAGCTGGATTAGCAAGTAAATGATGCCGAGAAAATACACACAAGGGAAAGGCAAGCTTTACCGTATAGCCCGGCTCCGAATAGGTCCATTGAAAGCCAGAGTTGGCTTTGTAGATGGCAGCAGAAGACATCTCCGCTTGCGAATCGGAATACATCATAACACCCTTGCACTGCCAGGCAATCATTTGGGTACCTTCAAATGACTGGGCCAACAGTGCTGTCAGCTGGTCGCCAGAAACGTCGTATCCAATCTCCGAGCCGGCCGTGGTATCTGCCAGCACCGGTGCCAAACGAGAATAAACAGGGGTTGAGAATTATCCAAGTACTGCCACGTATGCGCAAATGGCTTCTGAAAACTGAAGGTGTGGCCTACCAGAATACCAAAAGTAACCGTCGCCTGCCCCATCTCGGTAATGCGCGAGCGGAACCTGCTCAGACAGAAAAATGGAGGAAGAGCCAAGACGGACGTGCCACAATGGGAAGAAAAGGACAGGAGAATAAGCAAACAAACGGTGATACTATTCCATGCCTGTGCCTGGGCGCATACCTGAGTATCCGGATGCAAGCCAGTCCAACCACCGCCGGTCTAAAGACGCGAGCACGACCCAAATGTTTTACGAAGTGAAGAAGACATTCATCATAAACGACAAATAAAAACGAGACGGGATGGCTGTGCGCTTTGCGTGGGTTTGATAAAGAAACGCACCATGTTGCAGGTCACCAGCACAGCATCACGATCGTTGCCACCGTTGGGGTCGATATAGTAAGTGCCATCGGTGGCGCCAGAACTGTGAAGATAAATGTCATAGCAGGTCTTGCCGGGGTTGAATTTGGTTCCATAAGCGCCATTGGGAGGAGGCACGTAGCGGCCAGACATATAGAGGTCCCCAAACTGGAGACCCATCTGTTCGCTCGACTGGGGTCCCCCGGCCATACATTGAGAGTTAAGTCAGCCAAGCAGCACCAAAGTCTCGGAAAAGCACGAGGGAAAGTCAACCCCCGCTCCCAGAAAAAAAATATATATATAGCGCTGACAAGTACGCGTGCCGAAACTGCGAGACGTACGTGACCCGCATCCCAGACGTAAAAGTCAACGACGGGGAGGGCAGAGGCGGGGCCGGTGAGGTTGAGAACGGTGGCTTCGAGAACATTGTTTGAGTTTTGATAGCAGCCATCGCGGATCAGGTAGGGACGGTAGATGTGGCGGGCTTCAGCCAAGACGTCACCAGTGGGCACCGTCCAGGCATCACCCCTAACAAGACGAACACATTCATTTCAATGGCATCAGGCCGGCGAAAGTGGTAGTCAAATAAGAGCACAACAAGAGAGGGCCCAACGGGGTAACTGACGAGAGCGAGGTCCAAATGCCCGGATAGGGGTAATACGTCTGGTTGTTGGTATCCAAGTAGTTGAGAACACCGTAGCAATTGAGCGTGACAGTTTGGGTAGCAGTAGCCGAGAGGGCCTAAACACATTTGGATGGCCAGGGAGAGATCAGCGGGGACTGCATGGCTAAGGGCAAACAGCACAGAGGAGATGGGCCGACGTTCACACCATGAGGGCTCGCAGCTGGCCGTCGGAGATGGCGTAGGTAAAGTAGGTGTCGTCTTGCACTTCACCGCGAACGTTGTGGTAGTTGTCAGCTGCATCACTAGGTGCAAAGTGCTTGGCCACGGGCAGCTCCGGGGGTGCACCAATCACCGTGTAGACGTCTGCGCCAATCTAAAGCCGACCAAGCAGGAGAAGCGTCAGTGCGAGCGACCCATACACCCTTGGCCAAGCCTTGAGCAGGCAGCATATGTAGGCGGAACAGAACAAACCCGTTTGCATTGCGTCTGAAAAGCGTCCAAGAGACTGCCACCATTTGGGTCTAGAGCATAGAGGAAACACACATTGGTGAGGTTGCGGGGGGCAGGCGGACCACCTGCAGCGTAGGGGCCAGATGGGCAGTCGGAACAGACCAAGCCAGTAGGTGCCCGTGGTCATGTCGGGTTTAGCAAGCAGAATATCGTGACAGGTCGGGGCAGCAGCAGCACGTGTGGCGCCATCAAGGATGGTAGGCGTAGTCTCGAGGGTTGTCACGCGTGCGGATAGGCTGTCAACCTCTTGGCTCACACTCTCGATAGACTGGGCCATTCACGCGCCGGAACAACAAGCAAGTAGTGCAAGCGTATGAGACCACAGATCAAAGGAATTACGGCAAGCGTTGTTTTGGTTGAAGAAGCCAGGGTGACAAGAGCCTGGGCACACCTGGTTGACGGTGGCGGCAAGGCTTTGAATTGCAGCGTCAAGATCTGCCGGGGCGACAATGGGCTGATTCTCGAGAACCGTGGTGCGTGAATCCAAGCCGCTGATCTCTTCCCCAAGAGCCTGCGCGACCTATGGGAAGAAGGATGAGTGGATCGATTGGCTGATGAACTGGGCGCATGATGCCGCAAGCTTTGGTGACAGGAGCGCCGCTCACATTGTCGATCGACTACGGTAGGCACACCGGGTCAAACACGAATGAGGTTGCGCGAAGGAAAAGGCCCAACGGCCGTTGGCTGGTCGCGGTAGGCACAGGCATGCAGACCTGGTTGAGAGAAGCTGCCAGGTTCTCAATGGCAACATTGAGGTCTTCGGGTGCAACCACCGGCTGGCTTTCCAGGGCCAGCGTGCGCGCAGTCAAATTATCGACGTGACCTTGCACATCACCCACAGCCTAGAACGATACAAGGGGTGCCATGAGCCGAATATTGGCCCTTGGGTGGCAAGTCACGGCTATAGCATGCAAGCCGTACTTGATGCAGCTGACCAATGCGGATGCTGGTGTCATTTAGCTCAAACACAACATCCTACACAACGCGTGTTGGCGCGAGGATATGAGATGTAGGCGCAAGCAACGGTGACAGGAGCAGAGCACGCAGCGGTTCCGGCGAGCGCACCTCTGCTGTGAAAAAAAAGGTGTCTGCCTGAACTTCAAGAACGGGCTCGGCAACCACACAGCCCAGGAGAACAAGTCCCAAAAACAGCAGCACCTTGAACGGCGCCACTCCAGCACGACACGACACAGCCATCCTCTCCCACGCCAACGTTGCCTACATTCCACGCAACGGAGCAACCCGACAATCATTTACATTGTGAATCAGCGTGAGCCCGCGTGCCCTATGAACATCAGCGAGGCCATGTTCCTCGCCATGCTCACTCTCCCGCTACTCACAACCAGTTCCCCCCGCCCCCCTCTCAAAACAAACCCCCATCTATCTCACCACATTCCTCCGGCCTCGACTTGTCCTGCTCCCGCCCACTCAGGCACACACACACATACGCACATGTACGCTCAGGAAGAAAATAAATGCCTCTCTGTCTCTCTCTCTGTCTCTCTCTCTCTCACTCTCTCTCTCTCTGCGCTCTTCTCTCTGTGGTTGTGCTTTTCCTTTGTCTTTGCTCTTTATTTCTCTCTTTCTCTTCTCTCTCTCGACGGCGGTGATGTTGCAATAATAAATATTCAACAACGTCCTGATGATGTATACCACCTGCATTTACCCTCTTTTCATCAACATCTTCTTACATTACCAACCACACTTACTCTGCATCTTCTGCTATATCAGGTTCATGAATCTCTTGAGCCAATGCATCTTAGCACATCAAACCCCTTTTGCCCCTTTCGCGCGTCCACTCTGTTCTCAATTAATGTTGTAAAGACCTGTTCCATTTGAGTGTCGTCTTAACCAAAGCACAACTGTTGCTTTTTACTGTTGCACTCTTCGGCGTTGGTGAGTCGTGCGCGCGCTTGTGATCAACGGCAGCGCCAGATCTCGGCCATGCGCTTGGTGTTCCTCCTGGCAGCGCCTTCTTCTTTTTTTTGATATGTATTTTTGCGACACATTGCCGTGGACATGGCAAACCGTGCGCTGAGCCAGAGACGCTTGGCGATTGAATCAAACGGCGACTGCTGTTGTCACTGACACTGACGCTTCCCTCCAAATGCTTGTGTTCCCTCCAACGGCGCGCTGCAGGCACTGAACTGCTTTCTTGGACCCGAGGAGTCGCTCCTCTTTCCATTTCATTCATCCCGTATTCGAGTGCTCGTCCTCGTCGCCACCCCGACCAGTTCCACCAGTTGCACAGACCACCACCATGTCTGATCAGGAGGACCAGAAGCCCGCTGCTGCGAGCCAGCCCGAGCAGGAAGAGGAGGAGATTGATCTCTCGGTGCGAACAGGCTTTCTTGCAACCGCACGGTGACCTGCCCTATCGCAACACCACGCGTACACGTACACACACGTTCTGATTATCTCTTTCTGCCCACCGCCTCTATCTGTCCGTGTCTTAGGATGAACCCACGACAGCGCCGGCCCCGGCCGCGCGGACGTCGGGCGTCGTAGGCCGTGATTACGAACGTGGCACCGACAATGGTGCAGCAACTGCCACCAAGGGCCAAGATGGAGAGGCCGCAAGCGGGGAAGCTGGTGCGGAGACAAACGTGACCGCCGGTCAACGCATCAGTAAGCCAGCGTTTGGCGTGCTTTCATTTCGCCTCCTTATTGCGCATATTCATGGCCCCTCATCTCGCATCGGCGGCTCGTTCCTGTCAACCTTGCTCTTCGAATGACATAGGCAACTGGTGGCAGGAAAAGGCCAAGCCCGGCTTGGCTCAATTTGGCACCGTCTCTCGCCAAAAGATGACCATGATGAAGCAAAAAGTCAACGAGCTGCGAGGCGTCAGCACCAAAACCGTTGATTTGGACCTGCAACCGCGTTTCGAGAAGCTTCACCTCCTTCAGTCCCAATATCGCACCATCACGGAAACCTGCAAAGCTCTCAGCCGCCAGCTGCAGTCTGCCGCCAACAGCCACGAAGGCCTTGCTGCTTGCTTTGGCAAGCTGGCAGAATTTGAGAGCCCAGACCTCCGCGTCCAGTTTGGCGCCCATGCCAACTTTATGGTTGGTCACTCGCCCGCCCGCGAACAGTGTCTTATCACATCTGGCTCGCAGATGGCCCCTCTTTCGCGGTCTTGCCCCAGCCCCCGCGCCCTAGCTGACACTGATTTCTTGTCTCGCGCTACCAATGAATTTTGCAGAGCGTATATAGTGCAAACCTGCTGGGCTTGAACAATGCTCTCACATACTTCCAGTCCCAGGTCGATCAAGTCACCACCGAGCTGTATGCCGTCATCAAGCAAGTGCGCATCTACGAGAACATTCGTCTTGAATACGACGGCTACCGTGTGGTAAGCAATAAAATTTGTTGGCACACATCCAAACAGTTTTCCAAGTCAATTTTCGTGGTGCATCATGCACAAAGACGCGGCGCAGCCGCAGTTTTGACCAACACATGAGCGTCCCTACCCCGAGCTCACCCAGCCTTGCCACCCATGTCTCGTAGGATTACGAGCACAAGAAGGAGGCCGGGCGTACCGTGGAGACGGCAGAGGCCAAGTTTCTTGACGCGTACAAGCGCTTCCAGGAGAGCCGCAAGCAGACGGTTGATGCTCTGGACGCGTTTGACATTGACAAGGTACAGTCAGGGCTTGTCGCGCCACTGCTTCAACCCGGTCGTGCGGCACACCAGCTCATCTCGCCACTTCTTGTGACTTTCATCCCCGCTCACAGGCCAGCAAGATCAAGCAACAGCTCAACGGCCTGCTGCATGCATACATGCTGCTGCAGTCGGGCAACAAGTCGGCGCTCAACGAGTGCACGCAGTCAATTCAGACGGGTGCCGCGACGGGAACCAGTAGCGCCGCAACTCAGGCAGCCGCCCCTGCCGCCGAGGGCAGTGATTGAAGTGTCAAATAGTCTTGGGCCGTGAGCTTGTGCATACGACCCGCTGAATACAGCAGGATGATTTCGTTGTTGTGAATCAAGAGCTGATCAAACTTTTGTGATGAGCGTAATCGGCCTAGACACCGGCACTCCACCCGGGCGGCGACCTGGGCGGCAGCTCGGCGAGCCTGGCTTTTGTTTTTGCCATGGCCCTTGCCGCCCTTGCCTTTGTTTTTTGCTTTGGTGGGCACGGCATCCAGGTGCACCCGGACCGCCCACAGCGCGGTCGTGCCGTCGTTGCCCGTGGTCACGAGCTGGCCCGGGCGCAGCCATCGGGCCTGCGACACAGCGCTGGCATGGGCCTCCTCCAGCACGCCGATGGGAGCCAGCTTGTCTGTAGAGATGTTTAAAAAGACCACAGCTCCCGCGCCCGTCGCCACGGCCGCAACGTCCAGGGGGGCCGGAGTCGTGGACGCAGGCGTTGCAGGGGAAGGCTGCAGCTGAGCGAGGGTCAGCGCATAAGCCAAGGGTGGGTTGATCATTTGGCCGCCGGCACCAGCCTGAGCGAGGAGAGTCACCATGTTTGTCTCGTCCCGTAACACGGGACGACCATCGGGTGTGAGGGCCCACAACTTGACATGCCCGTCCAAACCGCCGGTCAGGACACCGCGTGAGGCAGCGGTCGTGGTCAGGCACGCCGCAATGTTGTCGTGGGCGGCTGTGCGCGTGAGAACGCGACCCGTGGTCTGATCAAGAACAAGAAGAAGGCCATCGTCCGTCACTGCAACAACAAACGAATCGAGGACGGCGAGCTCGTTGGTGTCGCAATCGACATCCTCGGACACGCGCTGGCTCCACAGCGTCGCGGCCGCTGCCGGTTTACGCGGGTCGCAGGCCCGCAACTCGGGGCCCTCGGCCACCACCAGCAGTTCCGTTCCAGTCGCTACTGCAGCACACGCCGCCGCTCCAGCCCCAACATTATTGACCCAGTCGGCCGCCCCCGGCTCGACCCCTGCCGCAAGACCGAGCGGCAACAGCTCGCCAGCCCACACACACACACACGGCATCTCTCCTGTGCCGCGAAGAAAAACAAGATCTTGTTCCACCGACCCGCGCCTCGATTTTATCACCCTTTTTTTCTTTTGCGAATCAATTTTAGTGATAAAAATGCGCTTCAGACTGATACAGATTCCCGCCTGCTCAAGCAGTAAATAGCTAAAAGTGTAACGCTCGTCACACCTTTACCCTACACGCATAACACACACACACACACACGACGAAGCGAAACGTTAATTTTATCCGTCTTTTTTGTCTTTTCTGTCTTTTTCGTCTTCTGGCACAGGAAGACGAAAGGAGGGAACGGTCGGACTTTTGGGCAGCCGGGGTCTCCTGTTGTCCGGGGGCGCCGTGCATCGCTGACGGCGGTTGACGGGCTGCTGCATTTGAGGACTGCCCACAACAGTGGTGCAGATTGCAGTGTGCTGTTTATTCTTCTCCTTGATTTTGAAGAGGGGCACTGTTGTCTTGATTAAAGCCCTTGTCGGCGTTTTTTTTTTTTTTTTTGACCGGTGAGCAGTTCGGCGAGACCAGGTCCCGTTCAAGATGCCGCCCGTTTTTATCAAGGGTGGCGTTTGGACCAACGTCGAAGATGAGGTTCTCAAGGCCGCGGTCATGAAGTACGGTCCCAATCAGGTATGCTCCTCTCGCTTGGTGGCAATGCCTCTTTCGTGCCAGCGACCGGACAGCATGGCGCGAGCCCACTGTCCCTTGCCGAGCACCCCTGCTTTGACACAACACAACGCCACACGCGCGCGCGCGCGCGCGCTCCCTCTCAGACACACGTCTGGAGTGAGACATGAAACGGCATTGCTGTACCGCAGTAGAGCGCGCTGACTGGGCCTGTTTCTGGTTGTCCTCTTTTAGTGGGACCGAGTCGCATCGCTGTTGCATCGCAAATCTGCAAAGCAATGCAAGTACCGCTGGTATGAGTGGCTGGACCCGTCCATCAAGAAAACAGAGTGGAGCCGTGAGGAGGAGGAAAAGCTGTTGCACTTGGCCAAGACCATGTCGAGTCAATGGCGTACTATTGCTCCCATGATTGGCCGTACTCCGATCCAGTGCCTTGAACGCTACGAAAAGTTGCTGGACCAGGCCCAGAATGCCGGTGGGGCTGCCGGCGAAGCGGACGCGGCTGACCACCACGATGCGCGCCGCCTCCGACCGGGAGAGATTGACCCCAACCCTCATACTCGCCCGGCTCGCCCCGACCCCGTGGATATGGATGAGGACGAGAAGGAGATGCTGTCCGAGGCCCGTGCCCGTCTGGCTAACACGCAGGGTAAGAAGGCCAAGCGTAAAGCTCGCGAACGCCAATTGGAAGAGGCCAAGCGCCTTGCCCGCCTGCAAAAGCAGCGCGAACTTCGTGCCGCTGGGATCAACGTGCGCGAGCGCAAGCGCCGTGGTCGCAACGTGGACTACAACGCGGAAATCCCCTTTCAACGCACCCCAGCACCAGGCTTTTACGACGCTGGGGCCGATGATCCCGTGCGCCCCCGTGTCAAGCAAGGCATGCGCTCAGATGTACGTGGACCGACCTTGCTTCTATTTTTTTCTTTGTTTTGTTTTACCTTTGTTTTTTTTTGTTTTTTGTTTTTTTTTTTTTTTTTGTTTTTTTTTGTTTTTTAAATCGTTTTCGGCTCTGTTTGATCTTGAACAAGCGGTTGGTCCCGTTCTGACCCCCCACCCCCACGCCTTGACTCTTGTCGCCAGGTTGAAGGTGTGCCTCGCAAGGTGCGTGAGGAACAGGAGCGACGAGAAGAACAGAAGAAACTGGAAGAACTCAAGAAAAAGGACATGGCGGCTGCTTTGCGCAAGATTCACCGCGTCTCTGGCGATGAGGTTTGCCCGTCATTCCATTCCCTCCCTGCATGGTGCTGCACGCACTGGAAGCATCGATCCTCCGACCCTGTCTCTACATTTTTTCTCACGCTCTTTCTTGTACTTGGCTTGTTTTTTTTTGCGTGATCGTTGCTGCCGTCTGTTTAGCCCACAAACAAGCGCTCAAAGTTGTTGCTGCCAGCGCCTCAAGTCTCAGACCGCGATCTGGAGGATCTCGTCAAGCTCTCCAAGTCTGGTGCCGAGGCCGCTGCTGAAGTTGATGGCAAGGGCGCCTCAAACTCCTTGCTGCAAAACTACGCTGAAACTCCCAGTTTCCACGCCGCTCGAACCCCGCGCGCTCCACAGGAGAAGGACTCACTCCTGACTGAGGCCCAAAACATCATTGCGCTCAACCAGACGTCTTCCGTTCTGGAGGGTGGCGCCAATACACCTCTGCACGATAACGGGGGGTACTTTGACGGCATGACGCCAAAGCGCAAGGAGGTGGCAACGCCGAACCGTGTGTTGACTACCCCGTACCGCGGCTCCAACGTGGCCGTCACCCCTGGCCGCAACACCTCGGGAGCTATCCCCGACGCGGCGGTATGTCCCGCATTCATGTTCAAGACGTCATTGTTTCGAAGTCATGCCTCGCTTGCACGATGGATCTCATATGGATGGTGCTATCAACAGAACACGCCCTTGCGTGACAAGCTGGGCATCAACAAGTCAAGCGATAGCTCCCTGATTACGCCACGAAACCGCCAGGAGCTCGAGCGCAACAAAGACTTGCGGTATGTCAAAACGCCTCCCAGCGAGCGTGCATATTGGGGGCAAGCCATGATTGAAACTTCCTTATTGAAAGCTTTAATTGGCCTTACTGTTTTCGATCATGCCTTTGCTGATGTCGCCTTGTTGGTATCTTCTCGTTTGACTTGAATCGCGGTTGTCTAGGAGCTCGCTCCGCGACGGTCTGGCCTCGCTGCCTGCGCCTCGCAAGGACTACGACATTATGGTTCCAGATGTTGAGGAGGAGGAACAAGACGCGACTGCGGTTCGCGAGGAGGACGCTGCGGCCAACGATGCTCGTCGTGCCGAGCGTGCGCGTCAAAACGAGGCTGCCAACTTTAAACTGCAGACACAGGTACGGTTTTTGTTTCTTGTTTTTGTTTTTTGTTTGGTACTTTCGCGCTCGCGCTTGTCGTTTACGTCCTGGCTGTTTTGCCTTGATCGCTTTTATTTGCCAAGGGGCCTTCTCCACCTGTTGTTGTCGCTGCTGGCTTGCCTCGCATCTCATTCAAGCCCTTGCCTCCTTCCCGTGTACCACCGTGCATCGCAAGTACAGGCGTATCAGCGCAAGTTGTCATTGCCCAAAACAGTCAATGACAAAATCCTGCGCAACGCTGATCTGACCGACCCACTTTTGGTATGATTGGTAGCCCATGCTGGTACCCCATGACGTGCGCGATGGTAACATGTGCACACACGTGACAGTGCCCCGCGCTCACTCGGCTGAAATTAAACCGTAGATTGCGGATGAGATTGTCAAGGAGGAGATGTTGCAGCTGCTGCGCAGCGACAAGGGCGAGATCAGGCGGTTACCCCTGCTCCAAGCCAGCGCCAAGGCTGACGCTGAGGCAGTGTTGCAGGCGGAAATGGAAGCGTTGGCTGCTGAGGCTGGTGACACAGATCTGGTGGCACGGCACCAGCGCTTTGTGGCGGCGCGCGCTGCCCAGCTCGACGCCATTGTCCATGTCCCCTCCCAGCAAAAGTTTGCCCGCGTCGAGACAGTCAGCCAAAAGGTACATTTGCCAAGCATGGCTTTGGTATCCAACCGAGGCAGGCGGGTTTGCTCATACCCCGATTGTTCATGGGCGTGTGCGCAGGAGAAGATTGAGGGTCTGGAGGTGGAGCACCGCCAGCTCCGCGAGCACATGGCCAAGGACAACAAGAAGGCTGCCAAACTGGAGAAGCGTCTGAACATTGCCCTTGGTGGTTATCAGGTTGGTCATTGGCTTCATCCAAGGGTTCCAGGACATCCCGTTTGAGCGCTTGTGCCGTTCGGCTTTTGTCCTTTGCCACGCACCACATCTTTCCTTTGTGGTGCAGTAAGAAAGGCAGAAACTCATCTGCCGCCCTCACCTTGATGATAGAAACGTGCCCAAGGCTTGCGTCAAAGCATTGAAGAAATGGTGATGGAAATGGCCGAGTGTCAAGCCCAGCTCAAGGGGTTTGAGGTCCTGCGTTTGGCCGAGTTGGCTGCCATCCCGGAGCGCCTGGGCGAGCTCAAGGCCCGCGTGAGTGCCCAGGAAGCAAAGCAAACAGCCTTGCAACTGCGGTACAAAGCGCTCACCGACGCGCTCACCGCTTAAACCTCTGCTGGCATTTCCGCTGTTTGTTGAGCACGAGCCTGTTGCAATTCACTCTGAAGCGAGAAAAATATCAATGTCGGAAATCAGATGATAAATTTCTCTCAAAGACAAAAAAGGTTTTAGAATCAACAAGCTAGGGAGCCTGGCCCGCTCAGCAATGCCGTTGGCTTGCCCATGTGGCGGAGCTAGCGACGCAGCGAGCGTTCGCGCGCCTGACTCAGCAGGCTCTGGAATTTAAGCCAAGCATCGCCCATCCAGTCATCGTCATTGAGTGCGTGCAGCACCAAGGCCACGGGGTCGTCCGGCTCCTCTTCTGGCAGTGTCTCCTCCAGCTCGCGTTTCTATGGGCAAGACCGCACGGCCATGGCCTTGTCGTGAATCAATGTGCGGCGCCTGGGACGGGCTGTGGGCCACGATGCCAAGCAACTGACCTTGCGCAAAGCAGTCTTGTAGCAACGGTGCTCGTAATGTAAGAGGCGGTGTAGCAGCTAAGCAAACAACAAAACGTCCCCCGCGACGGTGCGTCCATCAGAAAAATAGAATGGCACAAGCGCGCAAGATGGTGGACCCGCTGGTTGTGCGCTCGTCGTGCGCACCTTGACGCGTTCATAGCAGGAGGAGCCGAGATCAAAGCAGAGACCAGCGTCACGCTCCACGGCCATCTCGGGTCGAGACTGAAGCGTGCGGCTAGACAACAGGCACGAGAACAAGCCAAATCAAATTAAGGGATCAGCGCGAGCCGTGCAGCAACGAGCACCGCAAAGAATGAGCGCAATCCAACGCCAAGCGTGCCAGCAGCTCCGCACCGGTTGTAAGGAGCGCCGTAGAGTCGGATGGATTGCGCGCCACCGCATGAACGCCCGCACATTTCACAGTGTGTTCGTCCTCCCTGAGCCACGTTTGGAGAACCATGACAACAAGATGAGGGGCTACATGATCCGTGCTCACCCGAGTGGAAAATGACGAAGAGATGCGCGCCAACCTGGATGTGTTCCAGACGCGGGAAGTTGTCCAACGCACGACGCAGTTGACGTGAACTACGGAGCGTGTCGAGGCCGTGTGCAGCTTCATCCAAGCAGTTCAGCAAGCGTGCACGAGGTTCGAGCCACCGTCGCAATTCTTTGTGATTGGAAATAAGGAGGAGCGCAGTACTTGTGAGCTGATGGCCACCATGGAGGGGAAATGAGCGGCGGGAGGTGGTGAGACAGGCACGGCAGCTAGACCTGCAGACGACTCGGTGGGCTGGTGCACAAGATCAAAAAACTCTGGATTACACGCGCCAGCCATGCAGTACTGGAGCAAAATGTCGTGGGCTTCACGCAGCTAGAAAAAAAAGAGACAGCAAACACATGGCATCAACGCGATGTGCCGACGGATTGGGTCGAGACAGGTGGGAAGCACATACCGGAATGTCCGTGACGTGTTTGGGATTGTACACAAACGAAGCGGCATAAACTAAAGTGGAACGAACGGCGCTGCGGGTGCCACCATGCCCTTTTGTGGGGAGGGGCAGTGTTGAGCTCTTGCCCTGCCCATCCTCGAGCATGACCAGATCGGGCTCATGTGATGAGGCGAGGCAGGGATTGACCACGTCATCAAGGGCGGCCTCAGCCTTGGCCTCGTCTTCATCGTCGACATCGTCCTCCTCAATTGTCATGCACTCGGACACGGGTGTGAAGGTGGGAGACAGGTTCAGGCTCGGTTGGTTGGCCGGCACCACAACATGGCCGTCAGGGGCCAGCGATGCCGTCACGGCAACGGCGTTGGATGGTAGCGCCGCAAGGTTCCCCGATGGATCGGCCAAGTATCGGCCAGCGCCGACGCGGCGAAAGGCACATAGAGGTGCGGTGGCGCTAGTGAATAGGTACACCCAACGCTGATCATGGCGGGCGCGAAGGAAGCAAGGTTGGGCGGGAACGGGAGCGGCTCGCCGAGAGCCTGGGGGTGATGGGTCGTCGGGTACGAGGTCTGGTGATGCCGGGGTTTCCGTAGATGTATCGGCGATGGCAGCGGCATTGGCTCGAGGGCTTGTGGTGGAAGCACCGCCCTGCATATTTGTAGAAGAAGAAGCCGTCGGGGTGGGGGCAAAAAACTCGTCAGGGCCCAGGTCTAATAGATCGAGCTGCACAGGGGGAGCAACCGTCTAGTGTGCGTGTGAACGAAAGAGAGAGAATATGTGAGTGAGTGAGTGAGTGAGTGAGCGAGAGACAAAGAGACAGAGAGAGCGACAGAGAGACAGGTAGACAGAGAGAAAGTTTGAGGAAGAAGTTTACTATAGGACAAAGCATTGCACGAAGACGGTGTTTACCTTTCGACGGCGTTCAGGGCGTTCAGCACGACCACTACACGTCGGAGTTGCAAGATGCGAGGGAAGAAGATGATGATGACAAGCATGAGGGAGACCGCTTTGCACACAATCACAAAAGTCTTTGGGCAACAACGCTGACGCACCCGTCATCCAGCCAGGGACGCTGCGCAGGCCGTTTGGCTGAAGGCGGGGTGACCCATTCGGATGCCGCTCTAATATGGTATGTGTTGGCGCACGGGGTGAACAGCGAGCAGGCACCGAGCAGGAACGAGGCGGGAGGTGAGTGGCGGTCATCAACATACAACGCGACGGCAAGCTGGACAATCCCGAAGCACACGACGATGGCCGTCAAGAAAATCGGACAGACCTGCTGCTGCGCGTAACAGAGCGTTGAGCAGCGCGGGCTCGGAGGGCTTGGCGGGCAGCAGTGGTCGGTGCGTCGGGCGTGGTACGGGGTACACGGCGCGATGGTGGGGCGGCAGACCACCCAGGATGGGTGTCAAGGCCGTGTTTACCGTTGGCAAGCAAGCGGTGAACGCGGTCGGGATTGGTGCGGCCAGCGTGGGTGGTCTTGGTGGGTTGCACTTCCTCGTCGGCTGCGTCCTCTCCGTCGCTCCGTGGTACCGGATGTGGTAGCCATAGCTGTTGGCGCATGGGATCAACGTTGTCGTCGTCATCCTCCGGCTCGGACCCGTGCTGCGAGTTTGCTGCTTGAGGACCAGCTGAGTCGCCATGCAGCGGATGGCTGCGACGACGGTTGGTCGCCGAGTCCACCATGCCGTGGGAAACGGATTGGCCCTCTGCGTTGGAGGGTAGCGCCTCATGTTCGTGGGCTGGATCAAAATCAAACACGCTGGCGCTCACCCGCGCCTTGGTCTTGACCTGCAGCTGGGCCATGTTCGGTGTTCGTATGCGCGCGTGAGCGGGCGCCTGTGCGCAAGAACACGGCCACCCGATTCAGAAGGAAAACGCGCTTGACTGTTGTTGCGCGGGCACTGGAGTAAGTAAAAGTCCAGCTCTTTAATATTGCACAAACGGCTGCGAGCCGCAATCCCGATCCGAGTCTGCTCCTTATCACACCCAGGAACAAGCTTTCACAGAGCAAAGAGCCTGTAAACACCGGTCGTGAAAAAAAAAAGCAAAAAAAGGATGCCTCCTCCCCATTGAGCCCCGCTGTCACACGACTGCCATTCACCACTCCCCTCCTTCCCGCTCAACCCTTGTCCATATAACATAAAAGTCACAGGTCCTGTTCGCTCAGAAGAAGAAGCAGAGCAAAAAAAAAAAAAAAAAAAAAATGGCGCGCACTGCACGAACGATGCGCGTAAGACACGAAAAACGGTTTGAAACGGTGGAATGAAAGATCGTTTTTCACTGCGTTCGCCTTTTATTTTTCAAGAGGTGCGTAACTACTGTTTTGTACATCTTCTTCTCTTCTTTTGTTGTTTGTTGTTTTGTTTTCATGGCCTCTCTCTCAAAATCTCTAAATCTCTCTAAATCTCTATCCCTCTGTCTAAATCTCTCTCTCCCCCTCTGAATCTCTCTCTCTAAGTTCTCTCTCTCTCTTTCTCTCTCTCACAAACCTCTGTCTCCCTGCTCTGCTCTCTTCTCTCTGCTCTCTGCTCTCTCTGATTTCTGGCGTACTCCGACTTGGATCACCCAAACACCCCCCCCCTGGCTGTGACTGGCTGGCTGGCTCAAGATCCTCGGCTCTCCGCCTGACCCGGTCCTGGTTCTGGGCATAGTGGTGATAGATAGTCTACGGTCTGCTGCTTCTTTTTTGCTGGCGTGTATTCTCTTCTGCAGTGTCGTCTGTTTTGCTTCTTTTCCAGCACGACCTTGGTCAGTGTGTGAACCTGCTCGATCCAGCGAGGACGCCAACACGGCAGACAGAGATCCCGTCCGACTCTTGGAGCCACTATCCAACTGCTGGACGTGATTGCAAGTGCTGCGTTGAGAAGCGGGTGAACCTGCTCGACCTTGGCGTTTCGCCTCTGCACGCGCACGTTAGCCTTCTGCCACTGCCAATCCCGGTGACCGCGTGCGCACGCACGGGCAAGACACGGTACGGTCATGGGCAAAGAGAAGGAGCTCATCCTGGCGAGCCAGGAGGGCGACCTCGCGGCTGTTCAGCAATTGCTCGACAACTCAAAACCCTCCATCCTCTCTGGGTACGTCCAATCTGTGCGCACTGGCATGTGAAGAAGAAGACACCTCGTCTCATGTATGCCACTCGTACCTTTGGCGCCCTCACTCGATCCACTGGGCTCCCGCTCTTCCTTTCTCCCTCGTTCCAGGCTCCGCCGGAATGCACATCTCAACGCTGTTGATGAGCAAGGCTTTTCTGCCCTACACCGTGCTTGTCTGATGGGGCACTACGAAATTTGTCAAATTCTACTCAATCATGGCGCCTCCGTCCAAGCTCGCGATGCCCAAGGCCTCGGTCCTTTGCATCTCGCTGCATGGGCTGGTCATAGCCGCATTGCGCAACTACTCCTGACGGGCGCGTCTGAGACAACTCGCATCGGTGCCAACGTTGTCGTACGTGCCCCCGTACTGGCCTCCGTCGACCCTCGGCCCTCCGATCGCCGCTTCATTTGTTTGATTTGTTTGTTTGTTTGCTGCATCATGTTCTTGTCAACGCATGTTTCCATTGAATTCCAACCGACCGCGACCACCTGACACCCACTCAACAACAATACGGCCGCCCCTCAATCCGGTAGACCTTGACCAAGGATACCCCGCTGCACATGGCTGCTCAGCACAACCACGTCGACACTGTGGCGGTCCTCTTGCGTGTGCGTTCCTCGCCATGGTCGCGCTTGATGTCTTGTCGAATATTCCGACTCACACACGCGGCCACAACTGATTCATTGCTCTTGTCATAACAATGCACCCTGCATCCTCCGTCCCATCTCTCCTTGCAGTACGGTGGCGACCCGTCCGCCCGCAACGCCAAGCTCGAAACTCCGCTTGATTTGGCCGCCCAATATGGCCGGGTCGAAGCCGCAGCCCTGCTGCTCGAAAACTCCCCGTCCCTGTACGAACTCACAACCGACCAGCAAACCGCCCTGCATCGCGCAGCCCGCAACGGCCATGCCGATGTCGTTGAACTCCTCCTTCGCTCCGGTTCGTCTGTCCCGCCACGCACGCACCCGCTCTGCCCCAAACGTTTGTGCCCTCTGCAACCGCCCTTTCTTACTCAGCCTACCCCGCTCGTGAATAGGTATGGACGTCAACGTTCGCACAGACGCTGGCACCGCCCTGCACGAGGTCAGTTAGTTGGGCCACCGCGTTGTCGTGTCCAACGACACACCTGCTCATGCCCACGCCCGACCCCCCAACCCCGGCTCTTCTCAGGCGGCCCTCTACTGCAAGACCTCCGTCGTCAAAGTTCTGCTTGACCACGGCATCGACGTGTCGCTGCGCAACAGCCTGCAACAGGTGTGATCAGAATTGTATCACCGGACATGGCCCTGTGTTGCCCTTCACCACTCGACTCAACGGCATCGAACTCACACTGATGTCAACACAGACGGCAACGGACGTGCTCAAGAACATCCCCAAGGCCAAGGCGCAGCACATTGAGGCGCTGTTGTCCGGCCACGTCAAGTTGGTCGAGTCCCCAGATGTCATCAAAGCGCGTGCCATCGACGACTACGTCCCGGGTGTTTACGACAAAGAATCTCTGGTCAGGCGTGTGCACCACCAGAGCCCTCACCCCACAACCACAACAGCTCTCATTGCCACCTGACCCGCCCCTGTGTCGTGTCGCCCACGTTGATTAGGCGTTTCAAAAGGGCGAGGTGATTCTAGTCCTGGAATCACCGGCCTCGGGCTGGTGGCGCGGGAAGATTGGCACAAGGATTGGTGTCTTTCCCAACACCTACGTGGAGATTCTCCGTGAAGCTCCAAAGCTTGTGCAAATGCCAGACCATATTGCAAAGTACGCCGGTGCATCGCCTGCGCAATTCGTCGCATATTTGAGTTCAAGCCAAATTGACTTGCCCCGTTTTGTTTTGTAATCTGATCGCCGGCTTTTGCAGATCCAACGAGTCGCTGTTCAACCCGTTTATCGACGATGAAGACGACAACACCGCCCAGAACCACGGCCACGGCGAGCATACGCCACGGGATAAGTCTGGCCAAGGTCGCAGCAACCACGGAATTGCGGGCCAACAAAATGGTGGCAAGCCCCAAACCCAACGTGGAGGGGCACCACGCTTGAGCGAGGATGACGATACCTTGGATCTCTCGGCCGCGGCTGCCAATCTATTTTTGGCTGCTGAAGACGAAGAGGAGGCGGGCGCAGAGTCAGAGGAGACTTCTCAGCCAGTGGTGGTCGACCCGAACGACGACCCTGATCACCGAGGTTGGTTGGTGTGAGCGCGCCACGCCCCTGCTGGTTGGTGACCACGCTGTGTTTGCGTCAAACTCAATGTTGGTGCTCTCTTCTTCAACCTCAATGGGTGTTTTGATAGCACGTGGTGCTGCGGTGGCAGAGTGGTTGACCGCAATCAAGCTGCGCCAATTCAGTCGGCGCCTGGTTGATGCTGGCTATGACGCACTCGACTTTTTGCACATGATGGATGCAGAGGACTTTTTGGCCGCCGGCGTGGCTTCACCTACGGTGCAGCGTCACCTGGTCAATCATATTGCCAAACTTTCCGACCGCTCCGAGTTTGCCATGCCCAGCTCCTTTCACGATTGGCTCAACCAGATGCACCTCGCGTTTTATTTGCCCATCTTTCAAGAAGCAGGTTTGTGGCGAATCTGTTGCTTTGTCTTTTGTCGGTTTGTGTTTGTTCGTTGTCGTGGTTTTAGGTGGTGGTGTGGTCGGCTGCCTTTTTTTATGAGTGATACCGCCTATCCCTCGCGAAGCGCTGGCTGGGCTCCGCTCTTGAAAACAGCATTTTCTAATCACCACTTTGCCCTGACTCAATCCTCTTAGAGATCGAGGACATGCAAACGCTGTGTCAGCTCACAGATGCAGATCTGGAACGGATGACCATCTCACGAGCGGGTGCGTTGTTGAAGTTGACGATTGCTTCCTGTTGATCTCGTCGACACTTGATGCTCATGATTGGTTTGGCTTTGCAACAGGTCATCGATCCCGCATTCTAAAAAGCCTGGCCTTTTTACGGCACGAACTCTTTGGCGAACCCGAACCCGAGCTCGAGAGCGCAGGGGAACCCGAAGATGTCCAGTTGGTTCAAGAAGAAGACGCCCGAGAGACAGGGCGGGACTCAGAGCCGACAAGTGGCAACGAAGCGGCGCGAGGTTCCGACACGGACGAACGCCCCACATCACCGCGTGCAGCCTCCAAGGCGGCTGTGCCCAACGCTTTGGACACGAGAAGGCGTTCGGCTGAGCCCCGTGCTTCCGTCGAGCCTCAGCCACAGCGCTCCTTGGGCATTGTGGAACAAAAGCCCGGCCGCTACGTGTTTTGGGTTCGCTACCTGGGCTCCAAGGTGGCTGGCACGGTCTGCACCACCGACGCTGCCCGGGACACATTGCAGAAGATGCGCGAGACGGGCAAGCTGCTACGGGACAAGGATCCCATCCATCTCGTCATTACAAAGACCATGGTGCAATTTCTTGACCCCGCCACACAGGTAGCTCCCACCGTTGCACCTTCTTTCTTTTCTTTTCTCCTCCCCCAATTTTTTTACTCGTGGCATGTTCAAGGTTGCCTCATTGAAGCACTGCCGGTTTTGCTTGCAGCAACCCATCGTGGAGCACGCCATGCCAACGGTGCATCACCCCTGCCAAGACACAGCGGAAGCCAACATGTTTGTGTACCTGACAGCGGTACGTGCCATGTGGGCACGGCATCACGATGCTGGCTGCGCCGCAAACCATGCAAACCATGCAAACCATGCGCACCTCATCTTGGCACTGACATTTGATTCCGGCTCGGCATCGCAGCAACAACGAGCAAACAAGCCGGACCGCTACCTCTGCCATGCCTTTCAGCTTCCCAACGCCGTCATGGCCAGTACCATTGCGAGCGTCATGACGAGAGCCGCGTCGGTAGGTGCTCCCACCCTTGCTGCAGGTCTTGATCGCGTGCTGTGTATTGAACTGTTTGCCCTCGCTCACCGCCTGGCGGCTCGTCATTCAATAGGACGAGCTGGACGACGAAAGCATGGCCAAGCAGCTGCATCACGTCGTGTCCACGAGGGATGATTCTGCAGCTGCTCGTGACGAGTTTTTACGTGAATGGACCCACGGAACCGAACTCCTTGACGGAGACATGGATGACATGGCTGCCCTCGAGTCATGGGCTCGCTAACTCGACTCGCAACGTGGGCGTGGGATGTGCGCACGCTTTTCCCTCGCACTTTTCAGCCGTGTTGGCGTCGTTTTTTGTTCTGTTTTGTTTTGTGCTTCTTAGTGGGGGGGGTTGGAGCTTTGTTCTTAAACTTTTCTTGTTGCCCTCTGTCCAAGCTAGGTCGTAGATGGGATATTGCAAGGGGGGGTATTTGGTACGCTGGTACCACTGCTGGCTAGGATTGAACGGACCGTGGGTACCAGGCACCTGACCTCTCTGGTCGTACAATTTATTTACAGTTGGAATGGAAACGCAATCCGTTGTTGTCCAATTGATCCTGTGTGTCCAGCTCCATGTGTCCTCGTTTTTGGAAACGAATATGCATGCAAGCAGATAACAGCCTACAAGCACCACGCTCACGCGAGGTTATTGAAGCTGTGCGCCAGGTTCTTGAAGAATTCGTGCGAGCTTACATATTATCTCGCGTTGCCATTCTGTGTGTAGATGTGCATATGTCTTGTTGCAGTAATCGCGCGTTGATCCGTTTCTCTGCATGGCATGTTCACATGCTTGGCACACCGTTGAGACGCGCCTACGCCGACGCTTTGACCGCCACACACAGCTTGAAGGTCAAGATCGCGCTCTCAACGCGGAACTCTCCACCTCTGCTGCCCTCTTTCCCCTACGATCTTCCTCGCTCGCGCACACGCAAGGAATTTTTCTTTTCTGCGAAGTAACGTGAGCGTGATCGGAAGGTACGATCCTCCACCAAGGGGCCACCAGCCACCTTGTGAACCTCTTCCCATTTCATTGGAGCTCGTGGACACTCCGCACAGGAAGGAGATTCAACGGATCGACGCGATGACTGGATCGCAACAGCGTTTAGCCCTGCTGATGGCTTGCCTGTTGGCGGGTGCTTGGGCCGAGATCATTTCGTCCCAGGCCTGGGCCGACCTGCCGCCGCTCGGCAATCCTCTTCTCGGCTTGGAGCGCGCGCGCTACGCGCAAGACTTTGGTACGCTGGCGCATCGTCATTTTGACCTCCTTTGATCCTCACGGCCAGCCAAAAGAATGAAACAGACCTGGGTGCAAAGATACGGGCGAGACCGAGCACAGGACCGCCACCAGCCAACGCCTGTTTTGCTCACCAACGCGATCCCTCGGGGTTGTCCGTGCAGGATATCTGGTGCATGACCTTCCTGCGGTTGTCTTTTGTCCCAACACCACTGAAGGCGTTGCACAAGTTGTCAAGTTGGTTTCAGCTGGCCGCATGTCATGAAGCTCCTTACCTTCACGCTCACAAACACGCGGTCCGCAGGTGGGCTTTTGATCATCGAGTCCCCATGGCCACACGTGGCACCGGCCATTCGGCGCAAGGCCAGTCCCAATCAGAGACCGCCGTCGTCGACATGTCTTGCGGCATGAATCAGATTTTGGACATTGATCCCGTCGCGGGTACCATTCGTGTACGTTGGCCCAATGTCGCTGTACTCCATGCCAAGTACTGTCGAGTCGTTAATGACCAAAAGGCGCCATTGCCATGCACCTTGGCCCAAAGCCTCTTGACCCACTGCAATCGCATCAAAATGACATAGGTTCAGGCTGGTATCACCTGGGGTGAGGTTTCCGGTGCCTTGGCCACGGTATGTCTCTCTCGCCGACACCGTGTGTTTGCTCGGTCCCTCATGACTTGACTTTGCTGCCCTCACATCTCTCCAGCTTGGATACCGTGCCAAGGGCGAGACCTCTACCAAGTTACTCAGTGTTGGTGGCACGCTCTCCATTGGTGGTGGGGGTGCCTTTGCAGCCATTGATGTAAGTGCCCCTGCCGCGACGCAGTGGATCGTCGGTGCTTGGAATATAAAACAGCCGGCTCCAGGTCACTGATTCCATCAGTGTAGCCTATGCCTTGATGTTCTGTTCTGTCATGTCCCGACACATGTCATTTCCCGCTCCCCTTTTATTGCTTTGCCACGCCAGGGTATGAGCGTCCACAACGTGCGAGAGCTACGGATGGTGGTGCGCCGAGGTCTGGTGTACACAGCCAACAATCGTCGCAGCAAGCGTCGCTTCAAAGTGGCTCGCGGAGGTCAGGGCCAAGCTGGCATCATCGCCGAAGTCGTCCTCAACATTGAGCGCATTCCCTCCACCCTACGCGCCTTCACGGCGCTCTATACCACCCAAGCCGAGGCGTTTGCCGCAACCCTGGACCACAACCTCGGCCGCACCAACATTGAATCGGCGTTTTGCACGGCCATTGTAAACTCGGAGGCTGGCCTGGCTGCGCTCGGCGAACTTTGGACGCAGGTGCGTGGAAGCATGGGGCATGATCTCGCTCACCTCGACAGCTGTTGGCGGGTGCTCACGACATGGTGTTAGCTCGGCGACGTTACCCAAGCTTTCCAAGATCCCTATGTCCACGTCTGTGTGCTTGTCGATATGGACGGCGATTTCGAGCCACCACTGGACAGCATCATCTTCCCCATGGGTGTGTGCTTGTCAGCTTTTGCAGCGCATAAGAATCAACCATTACCATCTCAAATGCACGCCTTGCTTCGTTGATGTGCACAGGAGAGACAGCCCTTGAGGCCTACCTGGCCGTGGCCTTTAACGACCAAGCCCAGGTGCAAACGGCCATGACCACCGGCTACTACTATACCCCACGCTCCATCCTGCACATGATCATCCCTCTGGACAACATGACCGACGCTACTGTGTTGGCACCCATTCTAAGCACCTTTGCCAACAACTTGGCAGCCAACCCAACCACCACCGTGACTTTGGCTGCGTACCCAGCTGAAAAAGTCCAGGGCGATGCCGTGACGCCCTTCCCCTATGGCGGCCAAGTCGATGCGCTGGGTGTCTCCTTCATAATGACCATCCCAGTCGCTGATGCCGCCCGGGGCATGTCTGCCGGCGCTCTAGCTCGTGAAATGGTGCGTAGTCTCATGTCGCTTTTTCCTGCCTCGCAGATTCGTTGTGGCAATGTCTGTGTTGGTCGATCCTCTGCCGCTGATTGGTGCCTGTTCCAATGCCTAGGAGCTCTACTATCAAGAAATGTGGGACACGATCCGCGCGGTTCGGCCCGACACCAAATTGTATCCCTATGGCTTTCGTCCAGACGGCTACTCTTGGGAGGAGCACTATGGTGACAATTGGGATATGATTCGCTTCATTCGCGGCAACTCGAATCCGCGCCGTGTCCTGGGCCGCGGCGTAGACATCTTTGACCCACGAGCATAAAGCAAGATCGGGTCACTTTCACCCGTCGCCGTTTAACCGGGGGTTCACTCTGTCCAGATTGCTCGTGCGGTGTGCGCATTTGACCTGCTGCACCCCACGCCTGCTCTCTGTGGTCTGCACGTCTTCAAATTGAGCCACTCGGCCCGAGTGTTGTTGCCGTCCAAAGCCATGACCCAGGACCCAATGTCACTGCTGGTGCTATCACTAGCCAGACTGAAGGCTCAGTGGGTGCCAAGCATCTGGGCTGGTCATAAAGTCATGAACCCACAGATATCGCAAATGCGTGAATCTCAAGCCAGTCCATTTAACTCGGCGTTATGCCGCATTCCGTGCAAGAACAAGGGATGTCAATCGGCAACAGCGCATCCACCTGTAGTAAATTAACACGTCGAAAACTCACTCAAAAAAAAAATCGTTAAGTGGAACCTGTCGTTCTCTTTCACATGTCAGATAAACGTATTTTTCAGTCAACTCACATCAACAATAATTTCAAACGAGTCCAGTGACCGAATCGGTCGGAATACAAGCAGGCCATCCCCGCCATGTCGCGTCATGAGGGCGATCGTGGATCTTGTGGTGTGGTATGTTACGTGCCCGCGCCGCTGTCGTGGTCTGATCGCACATGGAGCAATGCCTGCCTCGGCTTTTTCACGGCATGCTCGATCTGTCGCCTCAGTCTGCACCCGAAAAGAAAAATATTTGCACAAAGCTCGGGGAAGGTTCGATGGCATCTATATCCCCAGACACGACGATCGTGACCAACCACGACCACGACCAACCACGACCACGACCACGACCATGAACATGACGACTCTGACGACACCCTCTACAGCGGGCTGCCCTATGGCACCAACAACTACAATCCAGCCACATCAGATCCCAACGGCCCCAAAAACTACAACATCAACTTTCTTCTGCAGTTTCGCCTGCAGATGGCTCACATCTTGACCCGCGCGCCACGTGTGGTGCATCGGGACCATGCCGATTCGGAAAGCGAGTTTTTTCAGCTCAAGGGCTCAAGCGAGCCGCCAGAGCCGGTGGTGCGCGGTTATGTTGCCAGGAGTGGTAATCGTGACAGGATCCGTGCTCTTGGACTCAAAAGTCGTTGTGGTGGTGGTGGTGGTATCACCGAGCTGAGCTTCTTGAAAACGTCTGTCAAGACGGTCCGCTGTACGAAGCTCGAGGAAGGTTCGATGGCATCCATATCTCCAGGCACGACGATCGTGACCAACCACGACCCCGACCACGACCATGAACATGACGACTCTGACGACACCCTCTACAGCGGGCTGCCCTATGGCACCAACAACTACAATCCAGCCACATCAGATCCCAACGGCCCCAAAAACTACAACATCAACTTTCTTCTGCAGTTTCGCCTGCAGATGGCTCACATCTTGACCCGCGCGCCACGTGTGGTGCATCGGGACCATGCCGATTCGGAAAGCGAGTTTTTTCAGCTCAAGGGCTTAAGCGAGCCGCCAGAGCCGGTGGTGCGCGGTTATGTTGCCAGGAGTGGTAATCGTGACAGGATCCGTGCTCTTGGACTCAAAAGTCGTTGTGGTGGTGGTGGTGGTATCACCGAGCTGAGCTTCTTGAAAACGTCTGGCTAGACGGTCCGCTGTACGAAGCTCGAGGAAGGTTCGATGGCATCCATATCTCCAGACACGACGATCGTGGCCAACCATGACCCCAACCACGACCATGACCATGACCACCACGCCGTCTACAGTGTGTCGCCTTGGCTCAAGTTAACATTGCGCTACTCCGACTGCCGTCGCACTGCCGTCTTAACAGTTTTTGGCTTCACTCGTGTGATGTGCGTGTCCTTGATCAAGTTTTGATGTATCGCGAGACTTTGCTGCACCCCGCGCCCGCACTCTTTGGTCTGCTCGTGAACCAAGCCATCCGTAATTGATATGATTGTCAGTGTCACAAACGGGTCTCATGCCCAAACCTGGAGCAGATACAGCCGCCTTCCGTAAACAACCCCACGATTCCATCCCGCCCATCGTGTTGCAGCGCGCCACGCTCTCGATTGGCAAGGGCAAGCGCGCTGCCTGTTGTCGTTGTTTTTTTTTTTTTGTTTGTTTGTTTGTTTTGTTTTAATTTCTTCTTTTGAACACCAAACATACGTGCATGCATGCATAGGTGTGTGGCTGTGGAGGTCAAGGCGGACAGTAGGTGGTGTCCAGATTGCCAGGCGACGCTCAGATCAAAACCCTCAGAGTGGCATAGTTGGGTCTTGTGTGGTTGAACCAAGTACGCAGCGCAACATGTTCGCGGGCACTCCTCCCGCCGTTGCGGCGCGGCGCGCAGGCTCAACCTTGGCGGCTTGGCCCGTGACTGGGCATTTCCACTTGAGGGCCAGCGCTCGTTCTGCCCTTTGCTGCGCAGCCCTCGACCTCGCAGACCTGAGCTCTGCTCCACACTGCACGGGTCTGCCCGGTGCGCCCCGTCCTGCTGGTTGAACTGCGCCCACATACAATTCTGTCCTTGGTGTGCTGTCATCGCCACTCGGCACCAAAGATATGGCGCGCAAGAAAGTCCATGACCGCCTGGCGGCCCGCGAGGCGTCCCTGGCTGACATGCATGCCGCCTACAACCGACCCATGTACAAGGCCATGGCCATCAGCCGGGCACGAGGAGGGCCCTACACCTTTGACGAGTTGAGCGAGGACTACGATTATTCGGAGCTGTGTCTATGCACGCCCTGCCGATGCCTGCTCTTCGTTCTCGTCACAGCTGCGGCCGTCTTTGCCACCCTCTTCTTCACTGGCATGATCTTGGCCGTGGCCACGGGCAACACCACGGTGGTCAGTGATGCCTTTCAAGATACCCTACCCCCACCCCTTGAGATCAATGCTGCCCGTACCGATCCCTGCAACACAGAGACCTGCCAGGTGAGGTTTTTGCTCCAGATGCTAGTGCTGACCACCTCAATGCTGGGTCTGCTCAAGCGAGGTGACTGCCTTTGCGCGGCGCCGCGCGTGCGCATGCCTCTCACCACCACCCTTCTTCTCTCCTCTTCCCAGCTGCCAGATTGTTTCTGCAACAATCGCTTTGCCGTCCCCCGCGAGTTGCCTGTATCAGACATTCCACAGCTGGTCACCATCACCTTTGATGATGCCATCACGGTGAACAATTACAACTACTACCAGTCGCTTTTCGGCAGCCGCGTCAACCCCAACGGCTGTCCAGCCGCGGCCACTTTCTACATTAGCCATGAATACACCAACTATCGCTTGGTCCAGGCTCTCTACCGTGAAGGACACGAAATTGGCCTTCACACCATCTCCCACAGCTACAACCTGGACTGGCAGCCTGAGGTTTATGGCATGCGCCAAATCCTATATGAGTTTGCTGGAATCCCTTCTGATGAGGTCGGCCAGCCGACCCTCTGTCCCTCGTTTCTCGCTTCCTCGCTCTGCCTCGCTCTCCCCTTCTCCCCGCTCTCCCCTCTCCCCTTCTCCCGTGCTACCACGCTCACTGGTCGTGGGCGACCCTGTCGCTTTGTTTCTCAATGGCAGATGCATGGCTTCCGAGCCCCGTTTTTGCTGCCGGGTGGTGACGCCATGCTTTCAGTGCTAAGCCAGAGTGGCTTGACCCACGACAGTAGCTTTTTGGCACCCACCACCCCGACCGGCGAGCGCATGTTCCCCTTTACCCTCGAGTTTCCCTTTGAAATGCCGTGCATGGTGGAGGAATGTCCTTCAGATCTCTCCTTTCCCAAACTCTGGGAACTGCCGGTCCACGAGTGGTGGGCACCGGGGAACCCCAACATATCATACGGGTCAGTCGATTGGCAAGCCCCTCCAGTCATGATTTCAAAAGGTGTTTCGTATTCATTTGTATTATTCGCCTCGCAAAATGTGTTGTTGCGCAGGTTCCCAGATGAGACGCAACCCAGCACGCAACAGGAGGTACTAGACCTCTTGCGCTACAACTTTTATGCCCACTACAATCAGAACCGGGCGCCGTTTACCGTGCCTTTGCACGCCTCCTGGTTTGATCGCTATCCCTTTGCCTTCAAAGCCTTGCAAGAGTTCCTTGACGAACTGGCAATTTTGCCCGAGGTGTACCTGGTCGATCATCACAAGGTGGTAGAGTGGATGCGGCAACCGACGCGGCTGTCCAATATGGCTGATTTTGCGCCCTTTCAGTGCGACAGCGCCGTGCGCGTGGCCTTTGATCAGTGCACGGCGACAGAACAGCACCAGTGCGGCTACACCAGCCCCGAGGATGGCTCCGACATTTACATGGCCACCTGCCGCACCTGCCCCGACAGCTACCCCTGGCTAAACAATCCCCTGGGTGTCTGAGGCATCATCAGTCACCTATACGACGTCATGGTGACATGACCGGACCTGCTAAGCATGGCCACTCGAGTTTGCGTGCTCCTGGATGTTGCTTGTCTTTGTTGTGTTTGTTGAGTATGGTGATTTATGGTATTGTATCCATGTAAGCGTGAGATTAGGCGCAGGCCCACAACGTCAAGTGCTCTGCTAGGGCGCCTGCGTGCGATCACACTTCCCGTTGAGTCCAAAGAAAACAAGAAATGAGGCTTGGCCCATGGTCTGAGGTCTGAGATCATTGGCTCGAAGCCAAATCGAAGCATTCCTGCAGTGCCATTGCATGTACAGCATGCTAATCCTTTCTAGCTTGTGCACGCAGTGCAGTTGTTCATAGCAGCGCATGTGTATTCGTGATGGCTCAGTAGCTGGACGCGGCCTAATGTTCAATTAATTGTCTCGTAACATTGAAACCCCCCATATGCATTCCTATGCTTCTTGCCCACCCGCTTCTACTGCCAGTTACACTTCATGAAGCAATACGTGCAAACGGCTTTAGTTTCATTCTTGTCTTCAGCCGCCAAACAGCGCGGTGTCCGAAGGACAAGCACACGATTTCATCTGCCAAGCAGTGTTGGCATCAACACGGCCGCGCTGCCGCCTGTCATGTTGACCGCCCGACCGTCTCAAAATAATTATCTGAAAAACACCCCAAAATTCCCGTTTTCGCTGGCTTGAACCCACAGTGCATGCATGCACGCGACCAATTGTCAGTCAACGCTCGCGCTTTTGTTTGTCAGAGAAAAAGAGAAGTCAGAGGGTGAAGAGATCGGGGGAGATAGCAAAGAGAGACAGCGAAAAGAAGAGCCAATGCAACATCCTTAGCAGTAGAAATCACCCTTCGCCCAGAGACAGAGAGGAACTCTGACCCCAAAATCAGAGAGTCACACTCACAGCGACAGAGAAAAACCTGACACCCCCCCCATTCTTGTGTGTGTGTGTGTGTGTGTGTGTGTCCGCTCGACACACAGCGCGCACGGCCGGCGTTGCGGGCCATTCCGATTCGCCCTGTCGTTGGGGGGGAGAGCGGGCGAGACAAGGTGGTGGACGCTACCGGGCTCTTGTGACAACAGTCAGCCTTTTTGTTGCTCTTGTTTGCCTTGTTCGTACTTTTTCCTTTTTTTTTCTTCTTCTGAGCTTGTGTTCGGTCGGCTAAATAAAGTCGGTTGCTGGCGCTGTTGTGCTCAACGAGTCGCGTCGAGCCCTTCTGATCCTCGGCCCGCTTCAGGTGAGAGTTGTTTGTGATTGCGATATATGGCTCCGTCCATAAGCATCGCCAAACAGTGTCAGATCATCGCCCGTCTGCCGAGAGCCTGGATCAAAACCTGACCGACATTTGGCTCGGCGCACCTGGCGCCCGCTGTCTTGCTTCTGTACCAGCCCCTTGTCCGGCACCATGTCGTTTGAGGATGACGACAAGCCCAAAGTGCGGGTGCACACCCGCAGCATTGAGCAAGTCCTCTCACCCATCGCGGATCAGGTATCAATGTCTTGGCCCGCCCCTGCCTTCACAAGCATGTCGGGCATATGCGCCCCGATATGGAGGCGACGACGATGGCATTGCTAAAACGCAGCTTCTCTCTGTGACGTGCATGCGCTTGGTTGGCATGGGTGCAGGTTTCTCAACTGATTATTTTTGATGAAAAAGCTCGCCAGAATGGCGAGCCCATTCCAGACCTCACCCACGGTACATGCGTTCTTACCACCCAACCAAGCTTTCGCTTCCAACTATTCAACTATGCATCACTCCGAAATTACTGAGCGCGCCTTGTTTGGGGGGGGTCTGATCCTAGATGCTGAGGCCATTGGCATGGCGATTCAAAACCTCGTCAAGGTGAGCAATGTGCTTCCCCAAGCATGCCGCACATTCACCTTGACCAAGCCTCAAAACCTTGCTCGCCTGTAACTCGATGCTATCTGGTTCAGGTTGGCCGTGAGGCCATGCTGCAGGGCGATGAACAGCTCCAGAGCCGCATGCCCGCCGCCTGCGAACAGGTGCACGCTCACTGCATCCCTTTGTACCTCATTTCAACTTGAAGTGCAACCAAACTGATTTCTCACACTTTCTGCACAACGGCTTTGGGCCGCATGTTCTGGCCCTCCAGCTCGAGGCAGCGGGGCGTTTGTTCATGGACTCGACCGTGCAGCTGCGCCTGGATCCTCTCTCTGAGAGTGGGCGTGGCATGCTGATTCAGGCAGCGCGCGGACTCTTGTCCGGCACAACCAATATTTTTATGACCTTTGACGCCTCCGAGGCAAGTGATTTTGTGATTGTTGGCTCCTTGGGTGCCCAGTGCGAGCCCTGTCAGCCCGCGTCCATCTGGACCCTGGCCTCACCACACAATTTGCTCATTTCTAGGTTCGGAAGATTGTGAATTTGGGCGAGGCCATCATCGAGCTGCTGGCCGTGGCCAAACAAATTTCCACGCTTGAGGAGCTTGTCGTTGTCATGCGCTCCATCAAGGAATCCCTCATTGCCCTTGCTCGGCTAGCCGAGGCCCGCCACTCGGATTTGATCAACGCCTCCCTTCGCCGTCGTCTTCTGGTGGCAAATGAAACGCTCCGCAAAGGCAGCCCTTTGCTCATCAGCGCGCTTCACACATACCTCCAGAACAAGCACAATGAGCAGGTACGCAATCTCTGTTCCCCCTCAAGCGATGGCAGTGTGGGTCACACTGTAGGCTTGTGCGTCGTGGCTTGTCCAATGTGCTGAGTGTCAATGGCCCTGGGCTCATTCTCATGGGATCGTGGTCTGCAATCAATGCAGGCGGCCTCCAGTCGTGATTATGCAGTCGATCAAATGCTCAACGCGACGCATGAGATTATCGTTGCCGTGAGCAGCACCGAGCTGGATGAGGCTGGGTACGAGTCACCCTCTTGAGGCCACACATGTGCACACCTCCAAAGTCTTGCCCACTGTCCGACATGAAACATTCGGCCTGCTCATGGTAGCCCGTCATTGATACAGTTACGCAGATACGCCCGGTGAATTTTATTCCGCCTACGAAGATGCTCAGCACCAGCTCTTGTCGGCTGCCATCAGCCTCGACATTGATGCCTTGGAACATCACATCGATAGCATGTCCCACTTTGCGTACGTCATGCACTGCCGCGTCTACTGCCAACTGTACCTCCCCCCTCAGTTTGCAAGAGCCTGACGTTCCATCCCTATGCTGTTGCACCGTCTCTAGCACCATGGCGGCACATGATGCGCATCGCCCTGAGCAAGAGGAAACTGTGTTGAAAAACATCGAGTCGGTCCGCACCACTCTTCAGAGTCTGACTGAGGCGGGCGAAGGGTGAGTGTGTTCCGACCAAAGCTGGGGTATCATCCTGCCATCCCATGACTCAGTCACGTCTTGACTTGACCCTGTCGCCCGGAGGTAGGCCTGAGCTTGAATTGGTGGCTGATGCCATGATCAAGGTACGTGCTCTGTTCGGTTTGTATTGGTGGCAACGTTTGTGCCGATTAACGATTCGCCGTTGATCCCATTCGTCAGCGTCTGGCCAACTTGAACCAATCAGTCCAAACATGCGTCGCCTACTCTTTGACGGAGGCCCAAGTGTAAGAACCACATCCGTCAACCACAGACCATCCTATTTTAGAGTCTCGCCCGCGTATGAGGTGGCAGACGTTCTGATTGCCCTGTGTCACCTTTAGGCAAGGCGCGAGCATGAGCGCACCACTGCACAAACTCATTCGTGCCGCCTCGGACGAAGCCATCCCTGGCCTCACCATCAACGGTATGCACACTCAAACCAGTTGCACCCCCTTTGCCGCACAAGTCATGACCACTCACTTGCAATTGCCGATGCAGAGCATGCGGCCGAGTTTGAGGATTTTGCCGGCATGCTGGTCAAGGTTGGTTCCTGCTTCATTGGCTCAATGTCAGTTTGGTTGCTTGCTTCTCTCAGATGCTGACGGCCACCTTCTTTCCGTTTATTTTTTCTCCGCAGGCCTCGAAACAAGTGGCATCCATGTCCAAGGACGCGCGTCGCGTGAAACTGGTCGAGGTCAACAGCGAGCAACTCCAATCCGTCACGATGCAGGTCCGTCTGAGCACCCTTCACTGCTCATGTCGGGGCATCGTCCCTATTGCCTGCAGGGCAGCACCGACTCATGTGTCCGTTGGGAATGTGTGCCGCCCTTTTTTACAAATAGTTGGTCAATGCCGCGCGCCTCTGCAAGGAAGAGAACTCGGCATCGGCTGCCGAGCACCTGGCCCTGTTGCGCGACACCTGGTCCTACCGTGCGGACGTGCTGTCCGCCACGACCGCCGGCATGGCTGATCCCGAACAAGTCATCATGGTGGCTGGCGATGGCCTGCAGAACGATCTAGAGGCCGTGCGCCAGCCCGAGGCCGGGCATCAGCCCGAGCTCGTGCGCTCCAAGGCTGGATTGGTGGAGGCGCGCGTGAACCACCTGCTTTCTGTGGCGGATGGCGAGGTCAGGTGGCTCTGTGGCCAGTGCACCCTCGCGTTGCTATGGTGCACCGCTTGATGCATGTTCCCACAACTCACGAGGGGTCCCTGCAGGTGGAGAATTCGGAAGATCGCAGCTATCAGCAACCCATCGAGCAGGCTGCCAGCCACTTGCGCACGGCCCTGCCCAAGTATTTGTCGGCGGTGGAAAAGGCCAGCCAGCAGCCCGACGACCAGGCCGTGCAGGCTGAAGTGAAGATGACCTCTGTTCAGCTCAAGCAAGGCGTGCAGCAGTTGCGCTACGCCATCCGTGGCGAGCCCGTGCCTCTGTATGTGCAGATGTTTTTTGCGCGTGGCCCCTCTATGTTCTATGCCTGCGTCCGCCCTTTTAACGTGTGTGCATCATTCTTGCAGGGATGCCGAGGGCGAGGACGGCGAACCAGACCTGTCATTTGCGCAGAGCAACAAGCGGTCAGTCTGCTTGTTCCAATATTTTGTGAAGGAACGGCGGGTCAGCTTGCTGCTCCATGCGGTGGCTCAGCTCACCCGTTGTCATCAACCCCGAACTCTTAGCCCATCTCTGATGGAGCAAAGCTCGCAGACTTCACTGCTTTCACCGAGCCGCAGCGTGGCCTCTGATGACGAGGCTTCGGACGACGAACACACGACAGCAGCGACCGGTGCCTCGGAGGCAACCGCTGCTGGTCGTCAGTCACCGCCTCGGGCCTCATCGACCACCGTCAGCCCGCACAAGTTGCTTCTGGACGCCAGCCAGCCACCGACGGGTCCCATTGCCAAGGCCGCGCAGTCTCTGAAGAAGGAGGCCAGCCAATGGTCTGCCAAGCGTAACCCCATGGTCTCGACCGCCAGTGAGATGGCCGATGCCATGTCTGCCATGGCTCTCTTGGCCAAGTAGGTGTCGCTCCGCGCCCTGAGCTTTCCTCGGCTTTGTTCCGACACGATGTTTGCATGGAGGCCATGCGCGTCTTTGTGGTCTTGTGTGTGTGTGTGTGTGTGTGTGTGTGTGTGTGTGTGTGTGTGTGTGTGTGTGTGGGTGAGCACCAACTCATGAGACTGCGCGTTTGGGTGTAGTGATTCATCGCGTCGCCGTGACGTGGGAGATGAAGTGGGCAATTTGGCGGAGATGATTGGCACGGCCAAGGTATTGTCCTTTGTGAAGGAGGCGGCCGCTTGGAATTTGCCTGTACAGCGGCGCTCGGCGAGTGGTGCTCATGCTGGTGTGCACGATAGGAAATTGCGGAGAGGGCCAAGGACATCCGCCGGCAGGCGCTGGAGATTGCGGAGCAGTGCTCGGACAAGCGCCTCAAAGCCGACCTCTTGTATCTGTGCGATCGGTTGCCGACCATTTCTACGCAGCTGAAAATCATTGCGTCGGTCAAGGCCGCCTCGGCCAACGCCTCGGGCTCCTCCGAAGCCGATGCCATGCTGGTCAAGAACGCACAAAACTTGATGGAAACAGTGCAGCGCACGGTTCGCGCTGCCGAAGCGGCCTCGCTCAAGTCCTTTGGTGCCGTGGCGGATACGGCGGCTGCGCTCATCAAATGGAAGCGCAAGGCGCAACGCTTTCTGCCCAACTGAGGTCTTGCCCGTCTTCTGGTCTCTCACTTTGAGGCAGTAGGCCCTCCGGATGTATCCATTGCAACCGGATCTTAAGTCTGTGTGTGTGTGTGTGTGTGTGTGTGTGTGTGTGTGTGTGTGTGTTTGTGTGTGTTTGTGTTTGTGTGGCCACTTTCCATAGCTCCTTCTTTCATTGAGCACGCCCATTTACTTGCCATGTGAATTGGAATATACTCAAGTACCCTCGACCATTCGAGCTGCAAATATCTTTGCACGACCCCTCGCATGGGATGAAGCGCTCTGCCGCAGCCTGATGCGCCAAGACGTGTTGCTCGGGCGCCCGGCTTCCTCCTCGTCGCCCATCCGACCGAGCCGTTCGACGCTTTAATCACAATCCCCCTCGGACATTTAACCCAAAAAGTGCTGACAGAATACAATCACAAAGGGGAACAATGAAGCACACCCGGTAACAATTGGTAGCGGAGATATTTTGCTGACAAAACCAAATGACGCGGCGCACTTACACTTGGTCACCGCCGTTCAATCCGTTGTTGTCAGACAAAATTGCGCGAAAGAGGTGACTGCACCGCCCACTTTTGACGCTTTGGCTGTGGCTTGCAGCTCACTCTCTCAGACCGATGCTTCTCTTGAGTATCCCTCTTGTTCTTGTGTAGATTAGGCCATAATCTCTGTTACTCCTTTAATTTCTCTACTCCTTGCCAATTCTATCACGTTCTCTCTCTGAAACTCATCCTCAACCAGCATCCATCTCTGCTTGTCGACCTCTTTTCTCTCGCTTCTCTCCCTTTTTTCCAATTTCATTCAGAGCTGCAGCCCGAGCGCGCTCGTTTCGGACCTCGCTGGCGCGCCAAGCTGCTCATTCTCGTTTGGTGGCAGTCGGCATCCACCTTGGTCTTGGTGTCGAGCCTTGGACTCGTACATGCTGGTCGGCAGGGGCTTCCTCGGAGTCCGTGGTGTCGCCACATCACGAAGGATCTGTTGCTGATTGCAGCCACTCAACTTTCCGTTGCCGCCCAGCACCACACAGCGCTCGTTGACGAGGCCGCCGCTTATCCAAGGTGCGTCCGTTCACCCTCCCACGTTGAATCGCAGGTGTAGAAACTCATGTATTGCCACGCTCATGTTGTGGCTGGGCTCGTGTGCGCCTATGCATCTGCATCTACAGATCAGATTCTTTTCTCCGCGCGCGACCTCTCTCGCCCCGAGGCCATGGCGGGCCCGCGTGGTGCATCCATGCGGCGGGTTCCCGCCGGGCTGTTGACGCTCGTTTTGGCCGCCAGCCTGTGCTCCACGAGCCATGCAAATGCCTTGTTTCCCACTCCTTCCGAAACAAGCTTTGGCGCCGGCGCCTTCCGCCGGCCCATCGCCGCCTCCTCCACCTGTGACGCCGTTGACTTTTGCGCGGACGACAACGTCTGCGTGACTTGTAATGGGACCTGCCTCTATGGCGTTGATCCGGACATTTCCCCTTTTACCTACTCTCTCATTGGCCAGGTAGATTCTGCTTCTTGAGTTTTGGTACCGGCCGCGCCATTTTCTCCACCCTCATGTCATGACGCCCGGTGCTCGAATGTTTTTAGCCACAATGCTTGTGTCCGGCCGAGTACCCGATCATCGTCAACACGTCTGCCTGCTGTGTGAGCGCAGCCGGTGCATCGTGTGTGGCGCGCCTCTCGGCTGATGCACATCCTGCAACGCTTGCCAATGACGCCAGCTCGAGCACCTACTTTCAATCGGCACAGAATGAAGCCACCGTCAATGTTACGATCGACCTCCTCCTCAGCCAGGTACCATCCAAGCCAATTTTTGTTTTTATATAGCCCGGGCCGCCTTTGTGGTTTCTTGCCTTCAAAAGATCTGGCATCTTGCTTTGCCGCCTTCAACACTCATCCTCCTGTTTCTATCACTGACTTGCAGGAGGTGATCGAGACCACCATCACATTTGCGCGTCAAGTTCCCATTGCGTTGTCAATCGAACGCTCGAGTGACGGCGAAACGTTTACGCCTTATCAGGTTGCACTCATTGACCAACTCCTCGGCAATCCTTACTTTGCTGGCTTGGGGGGGGAGGGGGGGGGGGTTTCGGAAGCAGCTCACGCTCTGATTTGATGCTCGCAGTATTTTGCCGAGGATTGCAGCACCTACAGCATGGCTAACAACGCGTAAGAGTGGCCGGCAAACACATCTGGCCCTTTCAAACTGTTGTCTTTGATCCCAAAACTCACAGCTCACACTTTTTCATCTGTTCTTGCCTCACCGCTGCACAGTGCTATCACATCAACCACTCAGGTTGTCTGCTCAACCAATGGTATTAGTCCCCGCACGAGTAGTTTGACATTTACAACCATTCCTCGTGCCCGCCTTGATGCCGGTATGTGCACACATCTTGACAAGTCGCCGTTGCCTAGCATCAAGCAGTGCAAACCACACACCACTCGAGCCCCCGCTTGCTCGCACCATGTTGTGAACTCAACCTCTTTCCGGTCATGGGGGGCGCATTTTCGCTGTGCAGCTGGTGTCAGCACGTACTACAACTCGGCCGACCTGGTACAATTTATCCGCGCACGCTACTTGCGCTTTGCCTTCAAGCAATACTACACCAGTGATACTGCTGTCGACCAGTTTGGTCAGCCCATCGCCACCGAGCCCTTTTATCGTGTGGAGAATATTCGTGTATGTAACGCAGCATCAGCAGCTTGCATGCCCTACCTGTCCATCTCCGCTGGTTGGCTCTCATCTCGTTTCTCACACCGTGTCTCGTCATCACAGCTGCTCTCTCGAGCAGACTGCAACGGCCATGCCTCGAGTGTCGTGGTGGATGCTGAGACACCCATGACGGTCGCCGCGTACGGCTCTTACCAGCCCAACATGTGCGACTGTCAGCACAATACTCAAGGCACAAGTTGCGATGAATGCCAGCCGTACGTTGTTCGACCGCTCGCCTTAACCTCAGCCCCAATCCTCCAAACTCAGTCTGACCTCGTCCTCTTGCCTTTGCTCAGGCTTTACCACGGCAAGCCCTGGGCTCGAGGCCTCGGTTCGAGTCCCAACGAGTGTGTGGCCTGTGAGTGCAACGGTCACGCAGACGCCTGTGTCTACGACGCCGCGCTAGATTCCAACCCCTCATCCAGGACGCAGGGGAACGGGGGCCGGTGCTTGGATTGTCAACACCACACGGTGCGCACGCCTTGGTGCCTTGGCGTCATGCACTTCGAGTTGGCGTGTTGTGATTGGATGATGCTCACTCTATTTTGCCGGGCTTGCTTTAGACTGGGCCCAACTGTGATCGCTGCGCTGCTGGGTTTTATCGCAACCCAGCCGCCGACATTACGGCCCCAGATGCTTGTCTGCCCTGCGGGTGCTACGAGTTTGGTGTCACGGATGGTAACCTGACGTGTGATGTCGAAACTGGCCAATGCCAGTGCGTTGATAACGCGGCCGGTCGAACCTGCGATTCATGCGCCCTGGGCTACTTTGGCCTCAACGGTGCAGATGATGCCGCATGCGTCTCCTGCGATTGCAACAATGTTGGCACGCTGTCTGGCCAGCTCTTGGCTTGTGACAACCGTACTGGGCAATGTCAGTGCCGTGCGGGTACCTCAGGGCGCCAGTGCGATGGCCCTTGCCAAACTGGCTTTTACCGCCCAGCAGGCGCCCCGGCCGGTGCGTGCACAGCTTGTGACTCGGAGTGCGAGTCATGCTACGGTCCCGGTGCTAGTCAATGCAATGCTTGCTACAACGTATTGGCCCTGGATGGCTCATGCCAGGCCGATTGCCCGGCCGGCTCATACAACGACTCCAACGTGTGCAAGAGCTGTCACGCCCAGTGTGGTGAGGCTGGGTGCACCGGTCCCAATGCCAACCAATGCTTGGAATGTGCCAACTACGTCACCGTGAATGGAACCTGCATTGCCGCCTGCGCGGCTGAATTTTATGTTGCTGCTGGTCGCACTTGTCGTGCTTGTGATCCGCTGTGCACGGTGTGCAGTGGGCCGAATGCCAACCAGTGCTCAGCGTGCTCTGCTTTTCGCGACGGAGACACCTGTGTTGCAGAGTGCCCCATTCATAAATACGCCGATGCCAACAACTTGTGCCAGCCGTGTAGCTCGCAGTGCGATTTGGCAGCCGGCTGCTCTGGGCCCAATCCGAGCCAGTGCAAGAAGGTGAGTCTATCGATTTCTTGTTGCGTTGTTCAACACATATCCGGCTTTTCCACCGTTGTCTTTGGCCGTGGGGCATGGCGCCAAAGGGAGGTGCCAAATGGAGGTGCTCATGGCTGGTTGTCTTGGCGTTTCGGGGCGTGGTCAATAGTGCGCCGTCATCTTTGATACCCAAACTGGCCAATGTAGCGATGCCTGTCCAGCATTGTACTACAATGATACCACTACCAGTCCCATCAACGACGAGTGTCGCCCTTGTTCCAGCCTTTGTGACCACGGTTGCGACGTACGTCCCTACCCCAACACCACCCGTCCCCCACCTCGACGCACCCAGAGAAATGCACCCGCCCAGAGAAATGCGCGCCCAAGCACCCGCTTCTTTCTCACCTCTTCCTGTCTCGTCTTCTCAATGGGTTAGGGGCCAACGGCATCCGATTGTATTGGAGATTGTGCTGTAGTGAGGTACAACGAGCAGTGCCTCAACGTGTGCCCCTCCAACACCTACAATCGAAATGGTGTCTGTCTCGATTGTCACGACACCTGTCACGCTGACTTTGGCTGCTACGGCCCACGCGCAGATGTAAGTTTCGCTTTCGCACCTTTTCTTTCTGGTCCTTGAACGGCCTCGCCGTGTTGTTCATCCCCTTTGCCTCAGCCATCGCTTTGCAACTTGATGTTCCCACTTTATCTCTAACCCTCTTCTTCTTCTTCTCCCCGCTCGTTCGGATCGCCGCGTCTGAAGCAATGCAACACGTGCTCCGACAACACGATCCTGTTCAATGAGACCTGCGTGTATGCCTGCCCGACCGGCTACTTTCGCGACCCCTCTGATACATGCCAACCCTGTCACTCGACGTGCGATGCCTGCTGGGGCGGTCTGTCCACGCAGTGCTCTCACTGCAAGGCGCTCGCGTACGGAAATCGTTGTGTGGCAACCTGTCCCGTCATGACCTTTTCCATCAGCCGCTCTCAGGCATTGGACGAGAATCTCATCACCGAAGAGGACGAAGACGACGACGGCACTAACGACACGGGCTCAGGCGCCATCGTGTTTGATAACCTGTCGGATTTTGTCTGCCTGGATTGTCATGCCCAGTGTGAGACTGGATGCACCGGGCCTGAAGCGCACGAGTGCTCCGCCTGTCGCAACGTGGAATACAACGGCGTGTGTATGGCCTCGTGTCCAGCCATGACGGTTGAGGTCATCTCCGACAACACGCGCCAATGCGTGGATTGTGACACGCAGTGCCTTGGCGGCTGCTGGGGTGAGGGGCCTCACCAATGCGACGCCTGCCGCAACGTCAACTACGGCTCTACCTGCTTGGAAGCGTGTCCCAGCGACTCTTATCGCAACGGCACGACTTGCCTCGATTGCCATGCCGAGTGCTCGACCACCGTGCCTGGCTGCACCGGCCCGACCGTCAGTGACTGCTATCGCTGTGAGCACGTCTACATTGTTGCCAAGGACGAATGTGCAGCCTCCTGCCCCTATGGTACTTTCCGCGATCCCGATAACAACTGTCAGGTGTGCAATGAACAGTGCAACGGTTGCACTGGTGCTGGGCCAAATAATTGCATTGGCTGTCGGGGTCTCAAGTACGATGGCGTGTGCTTGGAGGAGTGTCCCCGAGGCACCGCCAACCCCAGTAACTCGACCAACTGCGAGCGCTGCCACGTCGAATGTCAGTTGGTATCATGCCACCCTCCCCACCCGGCAGCCCTCATTCTGTAGTTTGTGTGGTTGAGGCCCAGAATTGTGGTTATTCTCGCACCAGAAGAGACCTTTTGGGCATGCCCCCGTCACTCTTTATTGTGCCTACGGATGTCGTGCTGACCCTCGCCTCCCGCTTGTTTGATTCCTTAGGTGCCTTTGACTGTTATGGACCGGGCGCAACGCAGTGCATCGCTGATCCGGCTGGGAACACATCAGCCTGCAGTCACTACGAGTACCACTCTGAAGATGGCATTGTTTGCGTGGCCGGCTGCGATCAGAGTATCAGCTACCTGGATACAGTCGATGCGGCTTGTTACCTGTGCCACCCCCAGTGCGCCGAGCAAGGCTGCAGCGGTCCGCTGGCATCTGACTGCAACACCTGTACGCACTACCGCCTTGGAGCTACCTGTGTCAGCACCTGCCCGCCGTCACACTATGCGGACAGCGAACGGGTTTGTCAGCCGTGCCACGCCGAGTGTACTGCCGAGGCTGGTATTCGTCAGTGTGGCGGGCCCACGGCCAGCGATTGCACCGCATGTGCCAACGTTATGGACAACGGTGTCTGCCGACCCTCCTGTCGCAGCACAAGCGTCGCCATTGATGCCACGTGCTACGAGTGTCACGCTCAGTGTGAGGAGGGCTGCTTTGGGACGCTTGCTACCGAGTGCTATGCCTGTGCCAATTGGGAGCTGGACGGCCAGTGCATCGCCTCCTGCCCGACTGAACGTACCTTCCCCAATTCGGACGACGTTCAGTGTGAAGCTTGCAACGCGCAATGCGTTGTCAGCTCTACACTCTTGACCAGCCGCCCAGCGTGCTCCTCCGGCACGGGGCCGGACGACTGCACCATTTGCCTGCATGTGCGTCAAGATGGCACGTGTTTGACCAACTGCTCACGCAGCCGCTATGTGGATCAAACCGACCTCAGCACTGCTCTCGGGGGCGTGTGCCGCGCCTGTCATTCGTCCTGTGCCGCCGAGTCGGGTTGCTTTGGACCCAGCGCAGATCAGTGCAATGACTGTCGCAACGTCTACGACTCGACTACTGCACGGTGCACCTCAAGTTGCCCCAGCTTCACCTACCAGTCGGAACGCGTCTGCCTGGCCTGTGACAGCACCTGCCGCACCGGCTGCACGGGTGCAGGCCCCACCATGTGCTTGCCACAGCTAGGCGCGACCGTCACCACTGCCGCCACCTTGGGTTGCAAAAACGTTTCCATTCTTCTCGATGATCAAATGGCCATGTGCATGGTCGACTGCCCTGTTGGCACTTATGCCGACGCCCGTAATCTTTGCCAACCATGCTCCAGTGCCTGCGCTTCTACCTTGGGCTGCACGGGCCCTTCAGAGCACGAGTGTCTGGCTTGCCCTAGCAATCAGTTTGTCAACGGCAGCCGCCTCTGCGAACGCTGTTCCTCCCAGTGCGTGGACGGATGTAGTGGCCCAACCGCGGCCGACTGCTTTGAGTGCCGAGGTGCGCGATATGATGGTACCTGTGTCCCCACCTGTAATGGGCTCAACACGGACACGACCAGCTTTTTCGAGTCAACGGACGCTGCCTCGGGCGAAGCCCAATGCCTGCAATGCCATGCCCAGTGCGTCAATGGCGACAACGCTTGTGATGGCACCACCGCTGGCGATTGTCTGCTGGGCTGCCAAAACTTTGTTCACGGGCTGACGGGCGCGTGTTTGGCGCAGTGCTCCTCCAACAGCTTCATCTCGGATAACCCTTACCCCAACACATGCACGCCCTGCAATGCCCTGTGTACCGGCGGGTGCCGCGGCGCAGGAGCCAACAACTGTGTGGACTGCACGTTTGCTTACGACAATTCGGTCGGTGCTTGTGTTTCGGCCTGCCCTGGCGTGAGCACCCGCAATGCGGATAGTGTCTGTGAGTGTCCAGCTGAGAGCGCCTTCCGGGCCTCCAACGGAAGTTGCCTTGCCTGTAACATCGAGTGTGCTGCTGGCTGCACCGGTCCCGGTCCCAATCAGTGTGCCGACATTCCCACTGATTGCCGAGTTGCCGCCCTGGTGGACACTTGCGTTGCGGCTTGCCCGGCAGGCATGCGCATTGGCGCCAGCAACATGTGCGAGTGCAGAGACAATCACTACATTAACGTGGATGGCGATGGGTGCAGCGTGTGCGACGAGCAGTGCTTTGACGGCTGCACAGGCCCCTTGCCCTCACAGTGCACTGGGACTTGTCGCAATGTGCGCTCGGGCAACACGTGTGTGGCCACCTGTCCTGACATGGAGGCACCCGATGCAGACAATGTGTGTGGTGCCTGTGCGGCGGCCTGTGCCGAGGGGTGTGCAGCCCCGGCCGATGCCACCCAATGTACTAGCTGTGCCCTGTATCAAGACGGAGATTCGTGCGTGGAGGATTGCCCCGAAGAACGATCCTTCTTGGACCAGGGCATGTGTGTGGCTGCCTGCCCCGAGGCACGTCCGTACTACAACGACACACGACTCGACGGCACGGAGGCATTGGGCATGCCGCAGCGTTGCGTTTCTTCCTGCGCGGCTCTCAACAACAACGACCGCCTGAGCATCAACACAGCGTACCCTTACCGTTGCTCGAGCGAATCGCGCGTGCTGGCCGAGGCCTCCACATCGGGCGAAAATGCGGACGCCGGTCTTATTGCGGCCGTTGTGTGTGGCGCCATCCTTTTTATTCTTATTGTCATCATTGTCGTTGTGTTGGTGATGCGCTCGCGATCTGGCTCGGTGGCGATTGCTCAGCCGCCTGCCACGCCTGCGCCGCCGCCCTCCAAGAGCGCCTATAGCTCAGTCTATGACCCCAACGCTCGCGTGCATCAAAACGCCATGTACATGCCTTCCCCGAACAAGGGACATGACACGTATGCTTTCCACCCCACAGATGACTACATGACCCCGGACATGAACATTAACGGCGACGCGGGCTCTTACATGGAAGTCACGCCGAGCCGCGGCTCAATCAACGCCTACAACCTGGATGACAGCAACACCTTTGATGAAGACGACATGGCTTACGCCATGGGCACGGGCACGCAATCCACGCGCATGTAGTGGGCGGGCGTCGAGGATGTTGCCGCCCCGTCCTCTCGCTTCTTGTGACTTTTAATTTTTTTTCTTTTTGGTTTTGCATTGGTTGTTGTTGCATTTTTTTTTATTTGTGTTATATGCAGACGGGGCGCATGTATTTATGTTCGCTTGTGGATGGCGTCCTGTATGCTCGAGCCGCGTGCCATTGTGCTGACTGCAGCCGGCAGAGTTTGGGTCGATGCAGTCCTTTGGGCTCGTGTTCCCTGCCAAAATCCCTTGTGGTTTGTGGCATGTCATTTTCGCGTGCTCGGGATCAAATTTTTTTTTTCCTCTCTGCATTGCTCCGTGGGCTCGCTGTTAAAAAGACTGTGTTGATTAGACCCGTCCTTGGTCATGCTTCCCGGCAACAACGACGGGCAGGCGAGGCCACAACCCACCGAAAGAATTCAATAGTAGTAAATTATTATCAAAGTGTCCAGTCAGAGAAAGTGGATAAGAAACACACGCATGTATCGTTATGTCTGGTGAGAAAAAAAAAATGAAAAGAGTGGCCTGCGCCACTCGCATCAGTATGTTGGGAGGTTCATATTTACTAAGCAAAAAAAAAAATAATGGTTGACACACGTCATCATCTTATACAGCACAACTACGCACGCGGGATTTCAGGCCATGAAGACCTGCGCACGGGCAAATGAGGATAACCAGTCGTGACCTTACGCCTCCGACAGGTTGTGACTACTTTCGGGAACCAAATAAAAGGGCAAGGAGCCCCGCAATTGAAGCTTGGTACGCGTGTAACAGGTGATCAGGGCCATCAAAGAAGGAAAGATTTCTTTCTCTGACGCATTGGCTCGTAGGCAGAGGCCGCCAGGGGCTTGGCGAATCTTGATGTGTCGCACCTGGCATTTGCAATGCGTGCCATGTTCCAAAAGTAAGACAAGCGGGCCGCGATTCTCCGTGGGTATTTTGTGTAGGTGGTATGAGAGTGGGGCGAGGCATGACATTGCCCGTCTTGACGTACCTCGTGGTCCACGAGCACCGAAAGGGTGAGTTGACTATTGCGAGAAGACCGAACAACGAATCGTCCCGTTTGCACTTCTCGCTGCAACATGTCCTCAGTGGCCTAAAGGTAATGGCGGAAACGGGTCAAGTGGAGTGAGACTGAGACTCAAGAAGGGTGTAGTAAAATCAAGCGCCGGGGCAGGGGTTGCTGGGGTCACCAAGCGTTTCAGAAGAGCCAATCCTGACTTACAGTGCGATCAAAGTGGGGACGATACCATGATTGAGCATCTATGGCACGCGGTGGGGGGACCGGGGTGGGGTCGTGGCCAGTTGCGTTGTCATGATCAAGGCGCATGTTGCTGAGGTCCAGGACGTTGGCATGGGCTTGAAGGTTGGCGAGCAAATTTGTTTGGGAGCCCGACCGAACGGCATCGGCAAAGCTGCGGCGGCGCTCGAGCGGGGCAGGAGGCGAGGACTGCTCACCCTGTACCAGATCACGCGCTGCCGTGTGCGTGCTACCACTGCGTTCTGCCGGTGTTGCTTGATAGCCATGGTTGTGCTCGGTGGGGCGGCGCTGTTGCTGATGATAATCAATCGGTGTGGCCCGACGCATGGATTCAGCTGGCGAGGCAACTGAGCTTGGGGGTCCAGATCGCTGGCGGTATGAGTTGGACGGCGTGGAGCCAGGGCTACTCAACACCACGGAGTTACGGCCTGTTTCCTCCAGGTATTTTCGCACGTTGTTGCGCGAAAAGTCGCTTGAGCGCTGACGCCTGGGGGTTGTCTCTCCACTGCGTGCGCTGTTCCGTCGGCTGCTCCTTGGTTGAGCGATGAGATAGGGCTGAGCGCGTTCGAGTTCGGAAGAGGAGGAAACTGGAGACCCGTTTTCACCACGCTGAGCATACATATGTTGAGAGGGAGCTGAGGTACGTCGAGCCGTGTGATGCACTGGTGCCTGCCCTTGCCATTGATCGGAGTGTCGATGTTCAGCGTGCAAGTGACGAAAACGATCGTGCTCGTTATGCGAGGCGGCATCAACGCTGTGCGCATGGTGGCGTGCGTCATTGTGAACATGTGAGTCTGGTTTAAATTGGTGCTGCTGCTGCTGCTGCTGCTGCTGCTGTTGATGTTGTAGTTGCTGCTGTAGTAGTTGTTGTAGTTGACGCTGATGGTGATGATTGTGCTGCACGGTCTGCCACTCGTCGCCCGACCCTGGGCCTGCTTGCAAGCCCGGCTGTCGCATGTCAGAAGCTGACTGAGGATGCTGTTTGTCATTATCTTCAAGATGACGCTTGCCGCGACGCGAACCGCCACGGTGACGATGCGGGTGACTTTGCTGATCATGCCCAGCGCCGTGCGAGCTATCCATGGAGGCGCGAGGTGATTGAAGGTTGTCACGCCCTGTCATGGCCAAGGCGGCCAGCTTGGCCAATTCCTGGACGGCAGGCTTGGGGGCGGCGGGATTGGCGTTGGAATGAGCAGGCGCAGCCCCTGGCTTTGGCTTTGGTTTGGGCGCAGGTGCCAAAGTGGACGCAACGGCAGTGGGCTTGGGCTTGGGCTTGGGCTTGGGTTTGGGCTTGGGCGGGGGAGGGCCATCTGAGGTCTCGGAGCTTCGGCGCTCCGTGCCGGCCAGCACATCACGATACGAAGGTCGTCGCCGCGGCGCCGCCCCAGATGCGGGCGAAAAGTCGTCGTCAAGTGCATCGAGAACGGCCAGATCTTGCTGATGGTGGTCCGGAGCCGCCAAGGCTGTGGTGGAAGAAGTTGCAGGGCTACCTGCCTGCTGTGAAGCTCGGACTTGGTTCTCGTAGGCAGCTTGTTCGGCTTCGTATGCCGCCTGTAGCCGAAGCTGCTCTTCATATGCCGCCTGCTGGCGCTCGTACTCGCGCTGTTGTTCCTCATATTCACGTTGTTTTTGCTCGTATTCGCGTTGTTGACGTTCGTATTCTCGCTGCTGGGCCTCGTAGGCACGAACTTGCTCCTCTTGTTCAAGGCGAAGACGCTCGGCTTCTTCTTCTTCCTCCTCACGTTGAGCTTCAATCAACAACTGAGCGCGCACAAGCTCTTGCAGGGCCAAAACACCCTCCGTTTCATCCTCCTGCTCGTCGGCGTCAAGACCCTGAATAGAGGCAGGCGCCTCTTGGCCATGAGAAGGATTGTAGTAGTCATCACCGGCAGGGTGATCGTGTCCCATACCCGAGAGCACGTCTCGGTAGCTAGCGGGCTGGGTAGGGGTGACGGTACTGAAATTCGATCCTTGGTCGTGCTGCAACTGCTGCTGCTGCTGCTGTAGCTGTGCCTCGTGAGATGAAGCCAAGTTTGCCCGGTCGCGCTCTTGGCGCAGAATGAGTTGTAGATCAGCAGTGTTGGCATATATTTGATCAGGATCCTCGACCGACTGAAGGAGATCCGGAACATCAGAGGCAGGTTCATAGTGTTGTTGTTGTTGTTGTTGTTGTTGTTGTTGTTGTTGTTGTTGTTGTTGTTGCAGCTGACGGATGGTGTCACTGTTGCCGTAAATGGGCTCCACTACCTCCGCGTCAAGGGGCTGAGCCTGGAGACCAGTCTGGCATTGTTGGTGAAGAATGGCTTCGTGGTTTGTGTACAAGGGCTCCTCAGCGCCGGCCATGTAAGTCGGGTGCTGATCTTGCTCAAGTTGCAAAATGTGGTGCTGATGAGGACCCGTAGGACCTGTAGCCCAACCCTCCTCGGAGTTGTCATCATCATCGTAGTCCTCGTCATCATCATACTCATCCGATTCCCAGTCCCAGTCTGATTCTTCGCTATCTCCGGGCGCAGCCGAGCCGTTTGCCGCCCCCATCGGGTGACCAGTGCGCGTGGATCGCTTGGATCGGCGCGATGGACCCTGGCGGGGGCGGCGAGAGGCACGCACAGTTGAGCGATGTTGGCGAGAGCTTCGGACAGCGCCCGAATTTGGATTGTTGTCAGGCTGCAATGGATAGGTCGAGGGCGCCTCAACGCGTGCCAGTTGCGTGGTGGATCGGTCTGGTGGGCGACACCGGGATAAGCGAGTTCGTTGTGAGGCAAAATTGGGGTAGCGATGATACCGCTCATGACAAAAGCATGACGGCTCAGTGTGAGAAGGGCATACCTCGCGGAGACGCACTGCGACGCAAGTCGGTGGGACTTGTGCTGTGCGTGGCACGGGAAGGACCGGGCGACGAATCGGGCCTAGTCATAGCAGAAGCAAACGCACAGGACGCACGGGGACGAGATTGAGCAAGCGAGCGTTTGCAAGGTTGCTCGTGCAGCGGATTTCAACTGGGTGCGCTGGTCACACACTGGATGAGGATGTAGTCAGGCTCTGATTCAGCATCACTCGAGGGTTGGCCCCCCGGGACGGAGAGTGTGCTGTGGTTTGAGCTCTGTCTCTGGGTTGCAGGTGGGAATTTGCTAGCGTCGACGCTGCTGCGGGGTTCTGGCATGGCTGGCGACGAGGGGGGCTCGTCCTCCTTGTCGTCTTTGACCCCAAAGAGGCCTTTGATGCCGCCTCGCTTTTTGCCGCCCTTGTTGCGGGCTGTGAGCTTGACAATTTCGTTCTGCTGCTTGACCAGGCGCGCAACGGCCTTGACCAGTTGTCTACGAGCAAAACATAGAAGTGAGGAATGAAGATGCGGTGAGGACTGAATCGACCCGGGTGCGCTCGGAAGTGAGTGACGTGGTGCTTCAATGCACGGTTGCCAACGCACTTGCGACGCGCCATGGGCTGCGAGCCAACCCGGTTGAAGTCGTTCACTTTCATGTTCTATTGTGCGAAACGTGGTTAAGGTGGGCAGGGGAAGTGGCGTGAGTTGATAGGAAAGACAGCAAACCAGCGCAGAGGAGGGCTTCGGGGGTCGAGAAAGGAGGTGCGTACCTGCAGGTGATCCCCATTGAGATGGAACATTTGAAAAGAGTCGACAAAATCATCAAAGCCGTTCATGGCAAGCCAGTCAACGACGCGCGAGGTGGGCCATTGACCAAGCGGTAGCTGGCTCGAGCGCAAGTCGACGGCACCATCAGACATTTGCGGGGATCTGGATTGGGCAGGGTTGTTCAGACCGTTGGAAGGGAGTGGCGGTGTGAGAGGCAGGTCAATCGCGGTGGCCGAAAATGGCGGTATCATGTCTGGCCGAAACCACACAAGACGACGTACCGGAAACCATCGTGCTGCTGGAGAGCCGAAGCAGACAACATGGTGAAGGGTCAGCCCACAAACTGACGATCTTTCTCGTGGTGGTAGCTGGCATATGCGCACGCACACATATACACACGCACGTACGCACGCACACACATGCACGAATACTCGCACACGCTCTCAAGTCTTCAAATCAAAACTGGTTGTCGGCTGGTAAGGCGGTCTGAAGTGTGCTCAATGTGTGCCAAAGCGTGGTAGGCACGGAAGAGGGTGGCGCTTGGCGCCTAAGATTGACCTGTGGCTTCTAAATGCTTTTACTGTCGTTCTTCTGGTTGAGATGGATCGCCGAGCTCTGCGCACCAAGCACGCGCGGCACAACTTTTTTTTCTGCCCTCAAACAACTGGGGGATCCTCACCCCAAAGAGTGGTGCCAGTGATTTTGAGTTGCAGCAACAGCGGCACCAGTGGCAGCGACAGCAAGGCCAGCCGCCACTGCAGGGACAGGCAGGCAGATAAACGTCCGATCAGGCCTGAAGCAGCGAAAAAGATGAACAAGCGACGTCGTCCAGTCGATGCCGCCGCTCGTGGTCCATCCCAATTTAAAAATAAACCAGAGAGAGAGAGACGGTGGCTGCAGACCGGGCCAGAGAGAAGTGTGAAGGTGGAAGAATGATGAGAGAAGAGGGCGAGAATCTGGAGGTAGAGCAGAGATGGAGAATAAATTGAAAGGTAAGACCATTATAAACATAAGGTAAATCAAGAGATGAGTCTGGGTAAGGGAAAGCTATCAGAGATTATCACATTATCCAAGATGGAATACAGAGACAAAGAGCAGCTACGAGAAAAATTAAGAGAGAGAGATCGTCAGACCAGCACTAAAGCAGTTTACTCACATGAAAATAGCATTCACCTTGTTATTGCCGGTCCACTGGCTGGTTGTAAGCTTATGACGTTGGCTCTCTCTATGGAAATCATCAGGTGGTCCTCTTGGTTCAGACTTTGGCTCTGTGTGTGTGTGCCGGCGCTGCCGGTTCTGGATAGCCTATCTGCGCTTGCTTCAGGGCGCCGGATGTCCCCTTGGCTACGATGTGAGTCGGTGGTCCGATGTCTGGAGCGGACCCGACTGCCGTCCGCGCCACTGATCCGCCTACGTTCGTAAGATAAATAAACCCCTCCAAAGTTTTGTCTTGGGTGAACCCTGGCTGTTTAAAACAGCTGTTGTGGTGTTGTCACTGGTCGATTGCGACATGGTTTGTCAGATTCTGCTCGCTCTACCCCTTCTCTACCTGATCTGCGCGAGCCCGCTACATCTCTGCTTGTACCTTGTGTTTTCCCCTGTTCAATGTGTTGAAGAACATACTTTCTCTCACCACCGTGCCTCATGCAGTCAATTCTCTAAAGTCACTTGTCCTTCATCAGGTGATCACTTTCTCTCTCTCTCTTCTCTCTTTCTCTCTCTCTCTCAAGCAAAAAAGAGAAAAAAAACATAAAACGGCAGCGCCTCGTGTTCGTCTTTCGGTAAGCCCTTGCCGGTGTGCACAGTGTCAATGGGCGTATGGTACAGAGCGTGTTACTGCATGGTTGAGGCAGGCACCAATCGTGCGGCTGGAGGCTTTGCTCTGTCTGATATCTCGCGGGGTCTGGGTACCTCATCACACCCCCCCTTCACACCACGTGTCACGCGAGCGAATCGCTCGCTGGCTGCCGAGGCCTCGCGCCCTGCTCTCGAGACCAGCCAAGCTCTGATCCTGGCTGTATATGACAATGCAATGCTGTAGTGATTGAAAACAACCATCGTCACCATGGCTCAGCCCGAGGAGAAGCGCGTCAAGCTGGCCGTTGCTCGCCATACCGCCACGGCGCCCGTGAACATTGCCGTTATCAAATACTGTACGATCTACCCAACGCACGATGGCTCGAAGCATTCGCTCCCAGACCCGAAGAGGCACTTCCCGTGCACCTGCTCATGACCACCCACGACTCATCATTGCGTGCCCATCAGGGGGTAAGCGCGATACAAAGCTGCTGCTGCCCATCAACGATTCCCTGAGCGGCACCCTGAGCCAGGATGAGATGCATGCTCGCACCACCGTGGCTGCCTCGGAGAGCTACGCCGAAGACACCCTCTGGCTCAACAATGAGTGCGTTTGGAAGTCCCTTGTCCATCACATCCTGTGTTGCGCATGACCCATGCCTCGCCCATCGCCTTCTGCCAGTGTCCTCACCCCCAAGCCCCTCGGTCTTCCGCAGACAAACGGACATTTCTAACCCTCGCGTGCAAAACGTCATTCGCGCCAGTGCGTTTCACTCTCCCTTTATCAACAACCCTCCTCACCGCTCACCCGCACTTGGCCTGGCCCTTGTTTCTCCATCTCATTATCCTCGTGCATCGTCACTCTTCGCTCGCACTATGGCATGCTTTGCAGTGCGGGCCAAGGCCAAGGCCGCCCACCCGGACAGCACCCTCCCCGAGCAGAAGCTGCTCATCTGCTCCGTCAACAACTTTCCCACCGCTGCTGGCTTGGCCTCGTCGGCCGCTGGATACGCTGCCCTCGTTGCGGCCCTTGCCGGTCTCTACGATCTGCCCGTGGAATCGCTCACCGACGTGGCTCGGTACGCGACCGCAGATATCAATTGCATGCACCCACTCACCGACCCGCCTGCCTCGCTTGACCACTTGAACTCATGTCGGCTTGGACGTGATCTGGACATGTACTTAGCATTGGCTCAGGCAGCGCCTGCCGTAGTCTTTCGGGCGGCTTTGTGCGCTGGCGTCGGGGCGAGCTTGCCGATGGCACTGACAGTCTTGCCTCTCAGGTGGGTTGACTGATGCACTCTATCCCAGCAGCCGTTGCTTTTGCAACACAAAAAAAATGTCGTGCATATCATCATCATCATCACCATCGTCATTGAATTCATCCTCATCATCATCATGTGCCCCTGTGCTCAGGTCGTGCCCGAGTCGCACTGGCCCGAAATGGAGGTGTTGATCCTTGTCGTAGGTTGCGCCAGCTCCATTGACCGCACTCACCCGGCTGTCATGGCCTACATTTCAAACACATTATTGACCCTCGCTCATAAACCCTCGTCCTGATCTCGTTGTGCCAACTACCATTCT